GAGAGAGAGAGAGGGATGATGACATGCAGCAAAGGGCCACAGGTCAGAGTCAAACCCATGGCCGCTGCATCAAGGACTCAGCTTTGGTGCACCAGCTCTACCAGGTGAGCTATCAGGACGCTCTCAGCCCCATTTAATCAATCAGGAGGGACACTCGGGGTGGACTGTTGTTGCTGATGTAACTTATTGTTTTAATGTAGAGTAAATAAATGATATACTACAATATAATTTTGGCGGTCAGCAGCTGAACATAACATTGCCTTTACAATCCTCACATTCCTGTTGAAAGAGTTGTTTCTCACTAATCATTCCTTGTGTTCACACTGCCTGTGTTGAGGTTCCTATTGACAACTCCAATGTCCAAATCCATAGTCCTCATTCTAGCTATTAAAGTTATGTATTATAAGGTTTCAGCAGTCTGGGTCTGCCAAGTTGTGCTCTTAGAACTAAATTCCCATTTTTGTGTTACTATTCCTCCACTCTGCTGCTGTGCTCAGCAAGGAAACTCTGTACTGGAAATACAAGGAGGGGATTTTCTACTTAAAGGAAGTGGTGGAGGTTTTGCTGCCACCGTAGTTTCTCCTACATGCTTGTAAGGCAAGCGGCTTTCAACTGGTTGAAATCTACAACTTGACCTCTAGATGCCATTCAATCTTACACACTGGTTCTTAAATAAAAAGTACAACAGTTGTAGTATCAAAATGTACTCAAAGATTTAAAAGTATCTCATTACCCAGCAACATTTCAGAAAAATTTATGTTATATTTGAATATAATTAGTGATGCATTAATGTGTACGTCACTTTAATGTTGCAACAGATAAAGGTGTAGTGGAGTGAAAGTCCAATATTTCTCTCTGAGATGTTGAGAAGCCGAAGTATAAAGTAGCATGAAACGGAAACACTCAAGTATTTCAAAATTGTGACTTGAGTAAATGTACTTGGTTACATTCTGCCACTGCTAAAAGGCCTGTAAATGTGGATACCCACTTGATGAACGCTTCAGATACATTTCAGAGGACTCTGGATCACTTACATTAAAATCACTTTAGGAAGGGATCTCTTCGGGGCCAGTATGGAGAGGACATGTGGGCATATGAGTATCATACAAAGATATATTTTAAAAAAATCTTTCAAATCATACAAATCTATCTGAAGCTGATGTTCTCCTGCAGGTACAGTACACAAAGCTGATGCTGTTTCGTCAGGAATAATGCACAGTCGGTATTTTTAGTGTAAGCCGACATTATTGGAGCTCCAGCAGACTGACAGACAAACAACATGTTGGAGCTGTGGTGAGTGAGGTAACCTGCAGTCCTTAGTGGTGGTTATTAAGTGGATTAACCACTTTAGATTAGACTCAGCCATTTCTCCCATCTGTCTACTGTTACACCACAGACCTGCAACTGTACAACCACCGCAGGACACACACACAAAAACACAACGTAAGGCATTAGAAAGATGTTTACATGAACATGTGAGCAAATCTTCTCCCACTGACCTACTGTACTCTATGTCTTTGCCTGACTGGACAGGCAACACACAAGTACACTGAACATAAGCTCACATTGCATGCTTACATTTCACTGTGGACACACGCACACAGTGGCCTCACATGCAAGAAAACACGGACACACACACACACACACACACACACACACACACACACACACACACACACACACACACACACACACACACACACACACACACACACACACACACACACACACACACACACACACAAATTTCTGATTAGTCGTTGGTTATTATTTTCACTTGAGTGAACGGCAGACATGTACAGTACTGACACAATGAGGTGGAGTTAGTGACATGTGACTTTGGACACAGCTGTCTGTATGGAGGGATTTAGACTAAATGTGTGTCACTGTGTGTATGTGTATGTGTGTGAGTGACATTTGAATACAGCTCAGCCTTCTGAGCATGAAACAAAAAACATGAAAGGCCCTATCTAGATCCAGTGTTTGGTTTGTCTGTTCTGGGCTACTGTAGAAACATGGCGGTTCATCATGGCGGACTCTGAGGAAGAGGACCCGCTCCCTCTGTAGATAATAACGTCTGGGGCCTGGACCCAGTAGGCTCACTCTGTAATCAATCTATGACACTAATATGCCTATCACTGTTTGACTCTGGTAGGGGGGCATCAGGTGTGGCTCCCACCCGACTGTTGAAGGTGCAACTCAGAAATGCAGAAATGTTATTTTTTCGTAGTGAATTTAAAAAATCTATTAATCTTATCCTGATGAAGCCTTCAAGAAAGGTTACTAAGAAAATCCGTGCACAGTCTGCTTCGTTTTTCCAGAAGGCCACAGAGGACTAGAGCACACATAATCCTCATGATTTGTTTTGTCCTGATCAGCAGCAAAATGATTAGAGATTAAATTAAATTACCCAAATAATAATTACATGATCACACACACAAGATTTACACCTCAAAATACCCATGCATGTTTCCAAAATAATATATTCTATTATATAATATATTATTATATAATTCTTATATATGAGGCATGTTTGGTATAAACCACCATGACTCATAACTCAACATAATGTGCAACATGATTTGACAAGGGCACATAGAAAGACATTTGAATTGGACATGTTGATACCGTTAAATTTGGTACAATTCATCCTTCAACAAAGCCCCAATATTCCCAGGCAGAAAGAAAATCAGCATAACCAACTTTATCTTTCACCTTGTCTATTTTGATACAGAGCAGTAACCACAGGAAAAACCTCTACACATTTTCTGTTGTTAAAATAACACATTCACAAGATTAGGCAGCCCTGATACAGGCAGACATCCTCTTTGAGTGCTTTCTAGTTCTTACTGTGTTGCTGATTGTTCAGATAGATAAGTATTGTTCTAATTTACCCACAAAACATCTTTAATTACTCTTTTCTTGGCCTTTTATGTGACAATGAACCGGGAATTTCACAGTTCATTGTCGGCGCCAAGCGTGTCCCACTCAACTGATTATGGAATGTCTCTCAGTTTTTGATCACAAGCAAACTATTATTTGAGCTACTACTAAAACCAAACGACTGATGATTTTAATTGTGCTTCAGTTCTGCCATTAAAAAGAACAAACACTGCATGAAACAAAAATCATGTAAAACTCATTTCAGAGTGAACCATCCTGGGGTGAACTGAGACTAAATTATATTCAGCTCTCACATGATACCAGTTGACTGAATGCTAATCCGCCTATTGATTTAACATTTTCTGAGTTCATGTCAGGAAAGTGGCCTGAACCACAATGCACACACTGGAAGTCATTAAGACTCAATTAGCCACAAGGCCCCAGGGAAGAAGACAACTGCAAGAAACCACAAACACAAGTGAGGAAAATATACTGATCTGCCCTCAGGGGGCAAAAAACCTGGCCTGTTTATTTCTGTTTCTTGAGCTGTGAAGCTTACACAGAAACACACACACACAGACACACAGATGCCTTAATGTAATATAAGCAGTCAGCTGAGGGGAGCATGTGACTTAAGTGTCACTGTGACATCCTGCACAGGTGGTGACAGTGTGGCATTTAAAACTAGTACAGGTAACACACACACACACACACACACACACACACACAGCGCACAGGTCTGTTTGCCATTTAATGTAGATAAGCTAATCAATACAAGCTCACCCATCACCACATACTGCACATATAGGTAAACACAGATACGCAGTGGGAGATAAAATGGAGAGAGTAGAGAATAGAAATAAAAAACATGGTTAAAAATAAAAAGCAGAAGAAAGGAAATAAAAAACTCTCTGAACCAGCTACACACACACACACACACACACACACACACACACACACACACACACACACACACACACACACACACACACACACACACACACACACACACACACACACACACACACACACACACACACACACACACACACACACACAGACCTGAGCTCTTAGAAATCAAACCCCTCTCCTATTGACAGTTGAGGGGTCAAAGAGTGTGAGTGGAGAGAAGTGTCTTCAAAATATGGAAATTAGATGTCTGACCACATGCAGCAGAGCTGGCCAGACAGGTCACAACCTCTAACTACCACACATCTGTCAATGTGAACTCTGACCTCACACATTGTTTAGTGCTTCATCAGGGTGCAGAGGCAGGAGAGCGACCCGGTTGACCCGACTCTCCTCACTTGCTTTTAGCTGCTACTCTTTAGTCACAATGTTTCCTGTTTGTGCTTTTGTTTTATCCCAATCAGTTTTTTTTAAAACTGCTGAGACGACATTCCTCATAGATTTTTGTCCGAACTCACTTTATGTTTGAGAAAATGTAAGTCGGTCCTGAGAAGACTTGATTTTTGACTGAAGGGTAAACCAGTTGTCTGTCTCTGAGTGGAGCCAGGCTGAGCAAAGCAGAACAAAACATTTAAAGTATTTGTGTTTGGCTCCACCTTGTGGTCAGCTACAACCATTACGTTTTCCAGGTTCAGCGGTCAACAGTACAAATATTATAAACAGAAGCTGGAATAACAGAATAACAGTACTTATGTTGATATCGAGAGTAGGGCTGCATTATTGGGCAAAAACATATTGTTAAATTGTGACAGATATTGCGATTTCATTATGATTCATAATTATTATGGGAATTATCATTTTTGCATCAAATTAAATTTTCACTGAAAAAAAGATTAAAATTATGCTGATGTGTTGGGATCTGTACCAAAGAAACACGTTTTCTTACATCTGGAGAAGAAGATTTGTAGACCAGGGCATCTCTGCAGCACCTCAGTACTTCATCATAATGCTGTTTTGACACACATTTACCTTTTATCAAACAAATTGCATATTGCACTTGGTCAAATTGCGGTTTCAATAATATTTTAATTAATTGTGCAGTCCAAATATCAACCTTTCCCTTTTTTCTGGACATTTTCTGGAAATCCTGAGGTCAAAAGCAACACAATAAATAAAAATCAAATAATCACAATTGTGTCACTACGATAAATAATAAATTGTCTTTATTGGTGGACATTTAATACTAACTATAACCAGCTAGTGCTTAAATTTAATTTTAAAAATAAAGAATCTGTTGAAATAAAATAGTAGCACAAAGACAAGTAGGCTTAAATTACAACTTGCATACAGTAATGTTGACAACTTCACTGACATTTCAAATGCAAAATAAAGGAGAATAAACATGAAAGCATACTAACAATACAGTTGTCAAACACACAGACAAGACAGACAGACACAGCACAAGTCACACTGAAGAATCCTTTATACTGTATATTGCAGCTGCCAGACCTTTCTTACCAACCTCTCACCTGACTTTAACAAACCACGCAGCACTGAAGCTGCACCCAGAGACGCAAAATCCTGCAAAAAACTTCACCAGTGTTTTTGTTAATTTTAAACAGGGGTGTGAACCCCTCTGTGTGCATCATCCAACGGCCAACAACAAATAAAAATTGACTTGAAAAAGTTTTTCACTTTTAATACTTGCAGAAAGCTGCCTCAGGGTTTTGTGTAGGATTTCACATTTCTGAGTTGATCTTATATGTCAAATCAAATTCACTTACTGGGACACTTCATTTTCACATACATGAACCATTCTTCAGATCAATCCTCCACAGCGTAACACAGGTGGAGTGAGCTATATGCCACTCATTGTAGAAGGCCTGTTTTATTTCTTTAATTGCCCTAGATTAGAGACTGCAGTCAGGAGCAATCTCACTTGAATCACAGACTTCATTATCAGGGAGGAAAACACAAAAGAGATACCTTTTGATATAAATGCATTTGTAACATGCTCACATACAATAAATCCTTAATTTATTATTTAACAGCAGACAGTAAAAAGTCAGCTTTCTTCATTGAAAATAATAAACTTAAGTTGAGCTAAGTAGATACTGAAGCAATTTAGGTACATTTATGTCTAAAAGACAGTATAGCATTAAAGACAGGATCTAAAATGAAGACGAAAAACAAACACAAATTAACACATTTTCATCGTGCCACGTTGCCCTAAAAGCTGAATACTGGGATACATAAATAATTTAAATTGATAAAATTACATTAAGTTGCATTAAAACATTTAAATCCTCAACTAGAAGACAACTGAATACTTACTAACGACTCTCAGAGGAGTAACAGGCCTGGGTCCAAACGGTGTTTCAAACACCATTTGGTTTAAGTCTCAGTGTTCAACAATCAGACTGATTTCACATTTGACCCAGATCTGTTATGGGAATGCTTACTCATCATCTGACAGTGAGCATCCCGACTTAGTCACATAGCTTTGTGTAGTTAAAAAGGAGTCAGTCATTCAGCCACACAGGCTGAATGAAACATCCCACATCTGCTGTACCAGTCCCAGACAACAACGGCCCGATTTCCTCCTGTAGAAACACGACTCGTGGCTGTTTCCCAGAGCAGCTGCTCCTGATGTCTGTATTTAGCTGCAGTGAAACCTCTAGTGCTGTTCAGTGTATGATGTGCAATAATCCACAATGTAATGTGCAATGAAACAAGTGTGTATTATCATAGGAAAAAAAGGTCCTGGGTAAGTTGTGGTTCGTTTATCCAAAAGATGTCAATGTTTAAGATGATGGCGAACAATATGAGATTCCAAAATCCTAAGTTCTTCCACAAAGTCCTGTTTTATTTTGCTCTTTCTTCTTGGTGTCTTTCTTCTATATACTTTAACATTTCTCTCTTCTTGCATCTCTCTTTAAACAGTCCAAAATAATTCTTGGTATACCACATCAGTGTTGCTCCCAGTGAAGGCTGAGAGCTCCACAAGTTTATTTTTCAGTCGAAACTCTCTGGTTTCCCAGGGAATCTCTGTGGTGGAGTGGCTCATATCTGCTGCACAGTGACAACTTCTCAAATGGCCACAGATGTGCTGTTGGGCCGTTGTAGCAGATGAGCAGCTACTCTGTCTTCTAGAAGGACACTCCTGACATTCTGCCAGGACAGATGCTTTTCACTTGGCGTGGCGGCTCTTGGGTTGAGCTCCAGGACTGGAAGAGGATCCGAGATGTCTAGCGTGGCTCCTCCAGCGCTGATGCAGCACAAAGTCATAGTTGGCGGAGGTGCTCATGGCATAAAATACATTAGCTTTGTCTGGGATCTGGAGCTCTGAGGCAGAAAGAGGAATGAAGTGATGAAGTGTTGTGATTAATTGTCTCTATTTCAGTTCTCTATTTCATTCCTCAGTATGATGATGGTAATTTTCAGAAATGTCTGCATTTTATATCTACTAAGAATATAAAGGAAGAGTGGTTTTCCAGCTCTGAATGTCTTGCATTTATTTAGGTTTATTTAAGTGTCAGTGAAGGAGCTGATTTTATGCTTCCTCTACAGTGGATTTACTCACATTTACTGTTGATGTGTTAGAGGCCCAAACTTTTTCTATTAAATTAAATATTGGTGTACATTTAGCCAGTTTACACAGAGGAATGACTCCTGCCACTAAGGCTCAAACTTATAGAAAGTCTTAACCAAGGTGTAATACTGCTTGACTGGCAGCTCTGTAATTCAGTACATAATCAGCTTTAAATGCTGCTTGTCATTAGTGGTCTTACATTTGGTGTACAAAAAATGCTCAAGAAATGGAGGACTTGTCCTAATCCTGTTCTGAGAAACATCTTCGAAAACACTAGACTGCTCAAGGAGAGGCCTGAGGAGAAGAAATGTACCTTTCCCATTGTTGAGCATCTGGCAGAGGCTGAAATCATGGCAGCTGACATCCTCCATGTTGTGTTTTTCAAGAGCCCTCTGAATCACCTGCGGCGTGTGGTCCTGACTGGTCAGCTGCAGATGAAACAGACAGACACGTGTCAAAATACAACCAGAGTGAATACTGTAACTCTCACATTTAGAAATCTGAAAACAAACTATTCCTGCTTTTATTGTAAAACATTGGTCTCCGGGTCAGAACAAGTGTGTAACGCATTACGGCACACACCACCAACCACCACTGATATTGGTGAAACAGGATCATATTTTATGGAGAAAATGGTTTCTGGGTTTCTGGTCGGATATCCTCTGGCTGCTCCACCTGAACTCTCTGTGATTCAAAGAGTTTTCTCATGGAAAGTAAAGCTGCGAAATGTCAGCTAGCTGGCTTAGCCAAAACTGGCATGAACACCCGGGACTGGGTGCTCAGAGTTGGTTGTTGGTGTTTTCAGGCAATTTCTAATCCTGCACAATTATTTACAAATACTCCGAAGTGAAACACGTCAGTGCTCTTTCCACGTAATGAGTCTGGGAGAAATTAAGCAATAATTTCTTCTTCCACAGTGTTCCAACTAAGTCAACCAAAAACGGGCTGGCTGACCATCGTCCTTACCAGTATGCTCTTGTAGACGTTTCCATTGCTGACACACTCGACGCTGACCCTGATGATACACGAGTCAGCAACCTGTTTGTTGTAGACGGGCAGCGCGGCCTGAGGAGAGCAGCCGGACGATGACGACTCGGGGTTCAGAACCAGAGAAGAAGAGCTGAGGTCCGGATGTGAGGAGCTGAAGGAGGAGCTGGAAAGACTGGGAGAGGAGGAGGACATGGAGCTGGAGGAGAAATCCCCTGCAACATTGTGAAGAGAGCCTGAGAGAGACTGAAGGAGGGGAGGAGAGACAGAGGAGGAACTGTGATTATCATGTTCCAATTTTAAACCAACTAAGCAGCAAATCGCGTACCTCTATACACTGACTATAAACATAGGAGACTGTCTGGGCTCATACCTTGAGTTTGAGTCTGAGGGGGGAGGGCTGAGGGGCGGAGAGTTCCTCCATTTCCGAGCTGCTGGAGCCAGAAGACGACACACTGATCTGGTCAGCATGGGTCTTCCTTAGGGAGCTGTCACTGGCTATTCGCAACCTGCAGACAGACAGACAGACACTTTAAATTTTTTCTACCGTTACAAAACAAATCTTGAGACTTCTGGGTTTTACATACAAACAGCTAAGGAGTTTTTTCATAGCAGTCGATGTCATAATAGGGCAGCTGTGGTGGTATTACAGACTTACGAGGCGAGCTTCTTAGTAAGCAGGCGACTGCTCCATGAGTTGGGAGAACTGGGACATGGGTCAACTGGAGGCTCCAAGTCACGAGACAGCTCATAGCTTCAGGAGACAAAAAAATAAATTAAGAAATGATGCAAATGGTTTTCCACTCCACCGGATTGCCTTTATATTGTGTTGCAGTTGCGTCAGTGTGTGCCTCACCTCTCCTGGTCTGTGAGCAGTGTGTGCGCCTGCAGCCAGGTGGTGATGTGAGGGTTGACTGGGAGGCTGTAGTGGGAACAGGAGGCCTGAAGCTGCCGGATCTGAGAGAGAATCTCAAACTCCTGCGAGAGAAATAAATAAAAAATGGAATACATAAAAGAATGAGACAGAAAATAAAAAATGTCCTTGAATTTCAGTACTAGCTATTAAAATTGAGAACAGTAATGTGAGACACCACTAGGAGGCAACACCTACCCGTCTGCGCTTCTCAAAGTTAATGAGTCCACCCTGCGAATAAGGAAATAACCAGTATGACAAATATGGCATCATAAATCTACCAAAGTACCATAAAAAAGACCAAAACAACAGGTGGGTTTGCGGATGTGATGTGTTCTCACCTCCACAGTGTCAGTCAGTGCTGTATCCAGCATGGTGAGGACAGTCAGGTAAGTGCCGAGGTATGGCACAACACCACTGCTGAAGTTCTGAGGACACAAATGAAGCATTTTTACATTGAGGCTGCACCATTGACGACAACAACAGAGAATCCCCTTCTTACTAATTTGCATTGTCATTAGTGATCTCAGTATTCTGTCCTCATTTTCAAGTTGTTGTTTTTTTAAATCTTCTATTCATTCATTCAGTGGTCATTCACCACTCTAATAAATTGGTTTCAGAAATACATACACATTATACTACAAAGAATACATGAAATTACAGATTTGCAAGAAGCTGAATCTAATTTATTAGCTTGGTGAATTCCTAAATGTTGCTCTAATAGAGAATTAGCTAATGCCAGCCTCGTTATCTTGAAGAAAGAAACTTAAAAACGAGGACAATATATTGAGCACACAACTCAATGACACTAATGACAGTAAAAATGAAAGAACATACTTGAAATACTAGATACTAGAAAAATACAGACAAGACTATCACCATTTAAAAACAATGAATGTGGGGGTATAAAACATTTTACACAGTCACACCTGGACAAAGTAAACTGTGGGAAACACCTTGCACACGCATCAGCTTTTATTATATCTTGCATAAGGGGATAAACTAACAGTTATGCGAGTTGAAAGTGTGCAAACTTTTTCCATCGAATGAACAGATTAAAAAAGAAAGGGGAACTGGAACTCTGGTGTCTATTTTAGTAAATTGAACAGTCTTGAAAACATGTGATTTTTAGGGAAACAGAATTGATGATCCAGGCAGAGGAAAACAGACCTCTGCCTTTCATCTCTAACTGGCTGCCAAAGCTGACATATTCACTTTAAGTTGGTGGTCAAACCTGAAACTGGAGGAACAACAAGGTTATTTTCAAACAAAGTGCTGACTTATTTTCTTACCATCTGTCTGGACGCTGAACAGAGTCGGGGTGATTTGGAGCCGAGGGTGGCACTGCCATCTGGATGACTCCCATCCTGCAGAAATATACAACAGTCTGGTCAGTCCAGTGAAAAGAAAATACCTAATAATTCAGGGCGCTAATGTGAAAGTGCTCTGTGTGAGATGTCAACCAAGGAGACATGTTACATAATTGTTCTTTTCATGGTTGAGCACCTGCTGACAGGGTGCTGCTGGGTGTGGGAGGGTGCCACTGCAGAGCAGGCTGCAGTCAAAGTTACAGCCTATTGTGCTATTTATGTGTGTGTGTTTATATTATATTATATTATATAGAGTATTAGACAGTATGTACTCAATCAAATCAATAAATGCTGATTAGCACCAACTGGCCACTTGTATTTGTAGTTTTATTTGAGTTGGCTGCTAACAATGGGCTTTTCATTTTATAATAGAACTGGGCTGCTCAGACCAGCACAATCACTGAACAAACCTTCATATCAATTGTCTTTCACAGGGAACAAAGGACACAGGGTGGCAGGTGAACTGTACACTGAACATTCATTCAGTCTTACAACAAATCAACCAACTATTCAACACAATACATTCAGTTAGCTGGTTTATTTCATTAGATGTTTAGGAATCATACTGACAATTTGACATGTGTGTTTAACACTTTACATGTTACACTAAGAATGATTTTGTTCATTATTTCTTATTCTGTATTAATTGGTGAATTAGTAATACTATAATATGTCAGAAAATTGTACATTGTGACATCTTAAATATCTTGTTTCTGTCTTACCAACACTCCAAAACCCAAACAGTCTGGCTCAACAACAACTACACAGATCTTTCCCTCGTTAATTAGGCAGAGCCATCAGTCTGCATGTTGCCTGATCCGGTTGAGCCAATCACAACCGTTTATTTAATATGGGGTGGGTTTTATAGAATGATTGATAGAGGTGCGTGACCAGTCCGGATTTAAAAAGTCACACTAAGGTCTATCCTAAACTGTCAAACTAGGCAGTGCTGCTCAGATATAAAGATTCTGTTACTGTGTTGCCTATTTCTTATCTAAAATGTTTTCTGAAACATATTTTTCTTAGTGTACTGATTAACTGTAATCTTAAAAAGTTTATTTCTTTTTCTTTCTGCTTGAAAACGGACCAAGCACAGCCTGATGCTACTCTGATTGGTTGTATATGTATCCAGTTGCATTCTGGTCTGCAGCCGTGGAAATCAAAAATGAACTGAGCCATTGCAGGTTCATTTGCATTTGCAAATTAGTCAGACGATGCCAGGCTGGTCTGTGTGTGTGTTTACGTCAAAAGTTACACATAGTTACCTCCACCAAGATCTCTCTGCTGGTTAGCACACAGTTCTCATCAGGAAAAGTCTCCCACAAGTTGTCAAAGGTGGCGATGCTATCGCTGAAACAACACAAATTCAATCAGTTAAGACCTTTTGTGGAGTGAATACTCACCCTGAACAAGGCTGCATGCTCAAACAAGATATATAGTTCAGGAAAACTCACTATGGAATTGATTTTGTATTGTTCTTCTTTATTCACTCTTAAGACAATTTTCACCTTTTTTTCATTTTGTGCACCCAACAAAGAAACTTATAAATTATGAATAAAACAACAGTTTACTGTCTTGTAATTGCTTGCTGACCTGCTGACAGCAGCCCAGGTCTTCTTGAGGCGATACACAGCGTTGGACTGCAGAGCTGAAAGGATGGCTCTCAAAGAGGAGAAATTCTTCATCTGTCTGCACTCCTGCAGAGAGAAAAGACAATAAAATGCAGTTCTGTTGTGCCGTTTTGATAAAGAGTTATGTTCATTTATGTCACTTCATTGTAAGTCTAAATATATTGTGACCCTGACCTGAGCAATAGCGATCCACCTCTCAATGATGCGTGCTCTGTGGGCGGGGCTGGTGTGAGCGCAGTGAGGTGAGCTCGGGGCAGTGGAGGGGTACAGGAAGGTAGAGGAGGAGCTGGGTGATGAGATGGGAGAGGAAGTGGAAGGGCTGGGAAAGGACGGGCAGAGGAGTGAGGTGATGACACGGTTAGTAACGGCGTTGAACTGGGAGATGGTGGCGCGGACGGTGGGCGCCAGGTTTCGGTTTTCCTTCTTGTCACGCTGGGACCAGACGCAGCCCAGGCAGTGGAAGGGCACCGCTCTGACAAACAGCTCCTGAGGGAGACGTGATGACAGGGAGAAACAATGAGAGCGAGTGACCCGCAGTGACACATAAATGAGCTTTGAAATATTTGTTAAAGAAACCTACAGCGTCCAATCTGGTCAGCTGCTCTGCCACTTCTCTCACAGGAAAGTCCATAAAGTTGTTTTTGTCTTCCTCCTTAGTGGACAACTCTCCTCCGTGCTCCTGGTCTCTGTGCTCCTGGTCTCTGTGCTCCTGGTCTCTGTGCTCCTGGTGCAATGATTTACTGCTGTGCTTTGACGCAGACTGGCTGCAATCTGTCAAACACACAGAATCATAAATGACAATAAAACAAGCTGCTAATAGGATTTCATATTATCTACAGTTCACTGCTGAATGTGGACACACACACACACACACACACACACACACACACACACACACACACACACACACACACACACACACACACACACACACACACACACACACACACACACACACACACACACACACACACACACACACACACACACACACACACACACACACACACACACACTTTGGCTGGAGTAATGATAATTCTTTTGCACAGAGTGAAAATTGTTCTAGACAATCTGGAGCAGTGGATCTGCTATAAATAAAAACATGGTTGACAGAGTATTACAGATGGATAGTCTGCAAAACTTCCAAATTATTCTCTTATGAGATAGTTAGCTATATAAGCCATTATAATTGTGTTACTTAATCAGATGATCTACTTAATAATTCATCAGAAAATCATGTATATACAGTACACATGCACACAGACACCAGCACAGTGGCCCATCATGGTGGCGGAACATAAACAAACCGTACATAATCACATCCCCGGTTCCCCTGTACCTTGTTCCTGGAGCCTTTTGAGGAGGGTCTCGGCAGTCTGAGCCAATCGTCTGAAGCAGAGGCGATGCCGCAAGTGGACACACAACAGTCGCAGGGCCTGGTACTGAGGGGGCTCGTGGAAGTCTTCACTGTACTCCTCCAGCCACAGCCGGATCACCGGGGGTAAGGTACTGTAGGGATGGATCAGGGAAATGAAGTGTTAATTATGGTGTACTTGTCCAGGTTAATCCTTGATTGAGGTTAAGGGAGGCCTGGACAGCACTGGCATCATTTGTGACAGATAAATCAAATAATAATAACCGTTCCTTTGTGTGGCAAAGGCTCATTGGGTGTGGGACAATGTTAAGATTTTAATTTTTAAAAACCCAATTTCGGCTGATCGCAAATCTAGACTAATCTTTGCTAATCGAAGAGTGACCACACTCACCTGCGTGGGCAGACCGTGTTATCCAGGTTGGCAATGGAGTCCTCTCTGTGGAAAAGTAAACACAATTACCTATCATCTGTGAACTGCATTTCAATGATAAGCAGCATGTGAAGGGACAATATGGGGACCTACAGCAGTGGTGATAGAAAACTAAATTAAGTAAGAAGTAATGAGTAGCACAGAGACATACGACACATTTAGGGAGCAAATCAAAGAATGTGAAAGCTGTGTTTGAATTCAGTTGTCATTTACACGGCAGCCATCAGCTTACAGCACAGGTGGTTTACAAGTTAATTACAGCAACAAAATGTTACATCCTGGACAAAATCCTGTAAGGCAAAGGAGGGAAAACACACTTCCCAAGCTGTCTAGAGGCTGACCTCACATAAAGCTCACAGGAAACCTGTTGCCACCGGCACCATAGATATGAGGGCGACTGTTTGACAAATAATATATCAGGCCAACAGCACTAATGGTCGCAGTTTCACGGAGGCAGCCATTTGCAGAACATTGAGCAAAGGTGAGCTGTAAAGACCTGATAGAGACAAAAGACCAGGCAGGTTCTACGGTCGGGATCTGAGCCTGTTTTAGCTGTTAAATCAAACCAAATTAATGGAAAAAATCTCGACTCTGAGCTGCTCTTGGAGAGTATTAAACTCCTTTCTGTGTCTAATTCTGAGATGTATTAGTTACAGATGTATATTTCTCACTCAGTCAAAATTCAGATTTCAGGTGTAGAAGTGCCTGTGTTGGGTGTGGAGGGCGTAGTCTTCACCTTTCAGGAATGGAATAAAGCTCCTGACTGCTTTGTTCAGTCCATGACGATAAAACCTGCCTTAGAAACTCGGCGTCAACAGAGCTTTGCGTTGTGAACAGCTGAGGCGACGTAAAGAGGGTTTTAAATAGCTGTCTTCTTTAGAAACTGATGGGTGCATCTGGCAGGTTGAAACACCTGGTTACGTATATGCTCCTATTACATTTGCATACAGTGATGATGACCTATTTAACAATAGCACACACTGGAATAACAAATCAGTGTCAATGAGTTTAGAATATATTAGAGACCTTCTTCATTGAAATTAAGAACCTTTAAAGTGAAATTTGTTTATCACAAAACTAGAAATAATGAGAAAATATGTTTTACATGTATCCTTTTATCTTTACATCATAAATAAATAAATTCATATTTATTTTTTAATTGGTATTTCACTATTGTCAACTATTTTCAGAATAGTTCATTTTGGGGCTTTCTTGCCGAGACTTAGCTGAAAAGATCGATACCACTCACATGTCTCACATGTTAAACTGAAGCTACAGCCAGAAGCTGGGTAGCTTAACACTGGAAACAGATGGAAAAAGCTAGCTCGGTTCTGTCCAAACGTAATACCCACCGACCAGTGCCTCAAAAGCTCACTAATTTACATGTTATATTTTGTTTTTATAGCCCGACATTTAACCACAAGTTAAACCCCGGCTTGAAAGGTGCTGGTAGGCTTATTTCGTTTATCGTCAGACAGAGTTAGACTAGCAGTTTTCCTCTGTTTCCAGTCTTTATGCTAAGTTAAGCTAATGGCTGCTGGGCTCCAGCTTCACATTGTGTTGTATAGTTCAACAGAAGTCTGCAAAATCTCGGTGTGGACAGATTCTCACCTCTGAAACAGCAGCTCGATGAGTGTGCTGGTGGAGGTGAAGGCTCTGTAGGTGGAGAGGAAGATACGGATGTAGTCGGGCTCCTGGTGCTCGGGGTCCAGCAGGTGGGTGACCAAACGCTCCAGGGTGGCAGCCTTCAGCCTGCGCACCTTCACCGTGTGGTACTGGACGAAGCTGAAGGCTGTAGGGGGCTCTGCCGTGTCTGAGGCCGGCAGGACGGGCTCCCTGCGCAGCGTGATACCAAACACAGCCCCGTCCTCCTCCTCCTCCCCCCACTCCTGCACTGGGTCCTGCAGGGGAGAATGCAAGGTCATCAAGATCTGACAAATAATAACCCAAATTCACAATACAGCTATTCTGCTTATTTCTCCTTTATATGGGAGAGGATACAGTCTTTAATGTACTTGAAAACAGAAACACACAATAATTTACGCAAACGTATGAAAAGACTGCACGACAAGAAACTTTTACAAAATGTTTTTCTTAATCCCCAACAGTCATTGAGCTCTTTTGCCAATAGCTGTTTAACTGGATTACTGTGACAATCTTCTGAAACACATTCCTGATGACAAATGCAATAAGCCTGCAGAGTGAGTCATTTCATTAAAAATGTTAAAAATCAACGTCAATTAATCTCATTTTTGACATTCAGCTTGTGACCCAGCCTTGCACTCTGACGCAGACAGACACCTGGTGACTGGACTGATGATGAGGCAAAGAGACATTTAGTGGCATACTTGTTTATGTCCACAAACACCGGAACAATGTACTGAACCATGGCACTAAAATCAAATTAAAAAAGTGGCCGGGAGAGATCAGGAGGGATTTCTTTGCTCTACAGGTTCTGAAGGGAACACACGAGTGTAATAGAACAACAATAATATATTTTATGCCAAAAAATAAGCGGAATATTTTATACACAAGAACTAAGAAACCAAGTACCACCAGAGGAGAAATGTGTCATATTTGGAGTGATAATATTAAATTATGGCTCATTATTGCAGCACTAGAACAGTATTAACTCTTTAAGAGACTGGCTCACTGATTACTTGTTGCACCCCAATCAGATACAACAGTCCTTCACAATATGCTATATAAGCGTTATTCAGCAGGTTGGAGACAAGTTGAAATGCAATAGACACAAACTTAATATTATCTAAAGAAATTATAAAGTAAATTATAACATTATAAAAAAATAATGTCACTGTCCCATTCTGTCTCTTCAATGACAGGACACACAAATATTACTGACTGGACTCTATAATAATGTGTTTATGTGCACTAGAACCCAGACAGAGAAATAGAGAGCTTGTTGACAAATAGAAGCATGATGCTGACCATCTTCAACAACCATTCACTGCTCGGGTATGAGACCCAATGACTGTGCCAGTCTGTCCATACAGGCTATATGTAATCACAATGTTATTTGGCATATGTGTAACAATAGAAGCAGACCAACACCTGATATCACATGACAGAAACTCGGACAAAACCCAGTGTGTTAGCTGCCAGGCACAATGAGCCTGGATCTACACACTGAATGAAACCATTATAACTATATGTTTGTCTTTAAGAGAGAATAAGGTTCACGTGTAGCTGACTACATATGTAGACTAGTCAAAGTTTGACTGAATAACAATGTGCAGACAAGCTCAAAACTTACTCCAACTCGTTCTTCACACAAAAGGCAGAGAACATTATATCTGACCTACCATCGATAATTGCCATTTTCCCATGTTTGTCCTCCTCTTGGAGAGAGGAACTCCTAAAATCTTCGGTCTGTTGACTCCCGGTGATGCAGCCGGTTAGACCGCAGCGCTGGCGGGAATCACGGATTGAGCTCCGTCCTCCGACAGTTCACTGCAGTCTGAATGATGTCTGACACTTTCATCTTAGCTCATTAATGTAACAAAGTATATACGAGTAAAAAAAGTTCAACTATCGTTCAACGTTGGAGCTGAACGGCGACAGCGTGACAGTGGATGGACCAGTTTGAGAGTGCGAGAACTGGAGGAGGAGAGGACCGGGAATGAGAGGTATTTCACTGGGCGGGGCTAACGAGACAGGTGTAGGCGGGGCTAAGGTAACTGACCAATGATAATACGGTAATAAAAAGCGTCACATATTATTATGCAGAGTTTAAATATGAGGCCATGACTGAAAAACAAATGTTAGTACAAATAGTGATCTACCTAAAATATTAAATTAAATAGCTTGAAACTGAAAGTGTGTCCCTTTTATTTTAACTGTAGTTAAGTAATTATATTTTATTTGGTTTATGGGTTTTAGATTGTCTTTTTGGGGAATTTCTCTTGAAATATATATATATATAGTATGGTTACATTGTGTCAGTGGGTCCAGCAGAGCCAGTATTCCCACTCAGTTAAAAGATATAGACTGTGGCTGCAATGGTTCTTATCCTGCCTTAGAGTCCAACAGTGTGTTTGCTGGATAAGAATACAGCCTCACTTTAACTGAAGCAGACAAATGTACATCAACACCACTTATTATAACCACAATACTATTTGTAATAACCTTTTAGGCATAATGGGGAAAGAGATTATGAGCTGTTGCTTTAGACACATAACACATTATGAGCGCTTACAGCATGTTTAATGGAGCATTCATATCCAGGTATGATAGTAAATTATGTGTATAAACTTGTATAAAACTGTCTCCTATTTCCTAAGTGTAGACATACTGTATCTGAACTTAGACATAATACTGTGACATCTGGTGGCCAAAGTGTAAACATTAAAAAGATACACTTTCAATTATTTCCAGTCCAGATCAAGAACAGGCTCACCAGCTTTGAACCTGCTCCACATTCTCATCAGGAAATGTTTTTTTTCAATTTTCCAAAAACTCCCATTATCGTTTTCCAGTTAGAGATTAAATGCAAAGATACAAATGCAAAGATACAAAAGGAAAGATTCTGTCTGCTAGATGTGAGGAGCTGATTTCAGGCCAACATCAACATGCTGTGATCAGTATAGTTCAGTGCTGCTGCCTCTAAAGAATCCAGTCAGGACAGTTTTTCACAACAGCCTAGTTTATGTTCCAGCCCATGGTGTTAGGGGCGTGGTGGGGACATACCGCATGAAAACAGGTCTGTTCAGCTCCTAAAAAGCATTGCCTGCTTTGTGACTCGAGAGAAGCACATAATCAAGACAACATTTTTAAATGAAAAGCCTTCGCTACCACTGAAAACGCTAAATGTCATCAGACTGACTTACAGCAACACACTGTGATATTACACTGACAAGCTAAGCAGATGGGATGTCCTTAAATCAGGCCGTCTACTGCTCTTTTCGCTCACTGGAAAGAATGAGCTTCTTGTTTCTCTAATGAGTTTGTGTGTATCTGAACAGAAAATACTACCATCATTCTTCCATGTTTGCCCATGCCACCCACCCTCTCTCTCTCTCTACAGAAGCTAAACAAAAGAGCAGAGAAGCAGGGCCATGAGAGACCTCAATTAGCGGTCATTAGACACATGAGTGGGTGATGAGGTGGCAGGCAAGCAGCAAGCGAAATCATGCATGCAAGGTGATGCTGAAACATGTTGGTTGAAAAATCCCACGTGACTAAAAAAAGCTTCTTTTAGCTGGAAAACACACAACCCACTCATAGAAATATAATCTACTTCCTGGAGAGTCAGCTGTAGTTCCTTCTCAGTGTCACTAAGTATCTGCTGTTGTTGGTGACGTCCCAAGTGAAAACATGTTGACTTGAACGGGAACAACAGCAAAAGTTCCCAGGGAGGAACTTGACGTAAACAATGACTGAATATATGACAGCTGCTCCGTCACCAGTGTGTGATTACACCGAAGTAATGACATCCATATCAGAGGACACTAAATAAAACACTTCAATCTGAGACCTCAGCCACTTAAAATAACAACACAGCTACGCTAAAAGGTATATAGGACTTTGTTCAGAAGCATAATTCAACACACAACATACACCCAGCCTCATAACTCACACTTAACTCGTCTCAGCTTCGGAGTGATTTGCCAGTAAATCAATTACTCACCTGACCAGGAAATAAATCAAACACTGTTTTGATGACTGATTAATCATTTATGTTGATTATCAAGAAATGATGCTAAATATATGCTGAAGAGCAATTAGACGATTAACTGATTAGTATAACGATATAAAAATACTTTGATAATGGATTAATCACAAATCTTAAATCAATTCATTTTAAAATGACAAATTTTGAGCAAAAATGGAAGATATCACTCATTCCTGCTTTATCATCTGTAAACATTCTTTGGTCTTGCATAATTTTCTTTGATAGTAAAATGATTATCCTTTGAGTTTTGGACAGTTTGTCAACCTGAACATGACCTGGGAACTCTGATGGACATATTTGATTATTTCCTGACGTATAAACCAAATGATTCTCTGACAAAATAATCGATAATGAAAATGATCATTAGTTTTAGTCCTAATTTTCTGGTTCAAGCTTTGCAAAAGAAAAGGTTGGTGGCTTTTCTTTGTTTTATATCCCTGCACATTTAATTGAATGTGTTGCTCAGACAAAACAAGGAACTTAAAGATAAAAAAAAATTATAAATAATACAATTTTACAGACCAAACTGTTAATGTAGAAAATAACTGACACATTAATCAAAGAGGAAATAATCATGTCTTGCTGCCCTATGGCTGGGTGATGTGGACTGTGGAAAATTGGTCTTGGTTTTGATTACACTATAAACAGCCAACTAGCCTCAGACATTTGAATATGTTATCTCTCATGCAGCCAAATAAGGACAACATTTAAGCTAGAAACCCTCATATTATATTTCCCAGGCCACATTTAAGGTCATATCACCACATAAATATTAAATCTCCTTGCTCTAGGTGAAATACCTTAGAAATGTTAACATTTACATATTTCAATGATGAGTCCTCCTACACGTATTGTGTGTGTGGTTGGCACCTCTCATGCTCTGCTGGACCAAAAGCTTGAACAATAAACTATGTGTGTACAGTGGAGATAATGCAAAGTAGTCAAAGCATTAATACAATTATTTCCATGCATGACATTTTGACAACTGAACTTGATGTAAGTGTAAATGATTATTAAATATTCCACAAACCCTGAACTTGGTTTGAGATGAAATAGATCTCAAACCATACATAACAAATGCATGTCTGGTAAGTGTTTTAAATGGCGTGACGGTTTAGGACAAGAGTAGCAGCAATTACAGTCAGCTGTAAGATAACAATAGCTCACTGAGTCATATAAACCTTGTGTAGTTTTATTCCAGCTCACCTCACACTGTCCATCAGTGTCCAACAACTGGAAGCTTGTCAGCCACACGCCGGGCTCCGTGTCCATGTGGACGTCCACACAGTGACTCGGCCTGAGCCACAGCAGCCTCTTCATCCTGCCCACCCTGCTGCGGAGGCCGCGGGACTCCCCTCCATCACCGCCTCCACACACAGGAAGAATGGTCCTCATCTCCCGCTCTGTGTCACGCTACGAGCCCACACACCTCGTCAGATCTCCCCCACACCTGCTGCCTCTTCTGTGTCAGGGAGGAGAGCATGAAAACATTAGGCATGGTCGCTTGCTGCATTGTTTTCTTTACATTTCATCCAACCATCAAAGAAGCATCCAGGTCAGCTGTAGGCAGGTTACACGTTGAACAAAGATGAGTCCTAAAAAACTGGGTCAGTGGTAGTTTGATTTACCATGCTGGGACAGAAATAGGGTTAATGTTTCAGCCTAACTCACTTCATTAGGAGCAGCACAGCACAACAGCATAAATTACCTTAATTCAATGAACTCCCTTCATAACAAACAGCCCCTAAACTGACATACAAAGTCATTTTGTTTAAACCGATCTTGAATCAACACAGTTTTATAGCTACCAACAATCTGTGGTAGCAAAGAAAGGCATATAGATGACTAAATGAAAAAACTGGCAAAGCGTATATGCTACACCCTGTATAGTGGAAATGTTAATATGGTTTCAAATGGCCTCAACATGAGAGCAATAAATCAATGACAATATGAAGTCTGCAATGAGATACAGCACTATATAACTTTATGGTCAAGGCTTAATACAACCATAATATACAGCTTCCTTTCTTTTTAACAAAAGTACAAAATTACACTGGGGTTCACAACACCACTAAAAACCACAGCTATTGAGAACAACGTTTCTCCTGCAGCATCCCCAAGAAGAATCTGGATATTGTAGCATTCAAAAGATACTCTGGATGCAATCAAAAACCCATTTACATAAAAATAAAAAAAGTTACTTAACCTTAATTTTGCTTCTCCTGAATCCTGATGAAGACCATGTTCAGAGCTGTACTCGTCCAGCCAGAATATTCACGAAGAGACGGTGTGAAACTTGGATGGAGGAAACTCTGGCATTTATCTCGGAGGACGGATTGTTCTTTGTGTTTGTGGGTGGATGATGCTCTGCGCGCATGTTTATGCCGTGTGAGTGTGTGTGGTGCGTGGTGTGTGTGTGTGTGTGTGTGTGTGTGTGTGTGTGTGTGTGTGTGTGTGTGTGTGGAATAGATTCATCCCTGTTTGGCTGTACACTGAGATGTATAATTGTCCCATTTTGATTGCATCCCATCATTCCAGTTCACTGGCCTCCTCATTAGAATAAAGCACAAACTCTCTGCCCTCATTTTCACCTGGACCATAGACAGAGTGACACAGACACTGAAGCATACATGTGGATGATTTGATTCTGCTTCAACAAAGTGCGCAGACTTGCAGAATCATCCACATCATTAAGATATAAAATGCGCTAATTTGAACTGGCTGATGATACAAGTCGTTTGCTGATAAGATGCTGTCTCTTACCTGACAGACTGGGTGACCCTTATAAAATCGTGACAGCGTGACACGATTTAAAGCCCACAGCCTGCTGATACATGTTGGCTGGAGGCCTGGTGGAAGGACATGTTGAGGAAACTCATTCACGCTTCTGGCAGCGTTTCAAACCCTGCAGAAGGAGGCGCAGGCCCGCCTCCTCTCACTGATTGGTCGATCGGCTGGAAAGGAAACTATCTATCCAATTAATGCGCATCATTTACTACTACTGTGAGAGGCACTGATGTAATGATTGATTAGCGGTATATTTGGCACGTAGATTAGCCGATCAGTATCCAACACGAGGAGGTTCTTTCCATGCTGCGAATCATTCAATCAAACTTTATTTTTGTGTGAATGCATTTAATATTTTAGTATATGTAAGCATACAGTGTATGATGAGATGAAATCTGGATGTCACAACTTTCATAAGTTTAATATTGAACAGGATCACTATGACAATAAAATATATTACAGTCAAATTTGAGTTACATGCTATTTATTTAATTTTGTATGTGTCTCTTGTCCTTTGTTGGACTGAGTCTGTGTTTCTTGTTCTGATCAAATACAATAAAGAATCAAATGCAATCAAATTTCTTTCTTTTACACTTTATTTTTATTCATTTCATGACAATGGTCTAAATCAATTCCCAACCTGGGGGGGTCCCAAAATAACTTCTTCTTCACATGAAATATAAGATATATTCAAGTCTTCAGGACTATAAAAACCCTTACAAAAGCTGAGAAGAACAAAATCATCATCCACACTAAGGCAATAACCTGTGAGTAGTAGAGATTAAAAAAAGGTGATCTTGATCTAGCTTTTATTAATTTAAACATAATACCAAACCTAAAGGCTAAACATTGATTGAATAATTGTAATTTGTTGGGATCAAAAAAGCAGTCGATGTTGGATATCCTGAATGTGGCCTAATTGACAACTGCAGTCTAAGTCAACTTTCTTCTTGACCTTCCAAACATCATATAGGTAAAATCATAATATTAACTAGAGTTTACAGAGGCTAAAAATAAAACTAGTGAATTTAAAACAGCACTGAACTCTAACAGGTCACTAACACAAAGAACCAAAAGTCTAAAAACTCTCCAGCTGCTCTTTAACTTTCCCTTGAACTTACTGCGCGCGCGCACACACACACACACACACACACACACACACACACACACACACACACACACACACACACACACCTATACACATTCAGTGGGAGATCAAAGAGCTTTAGTTCATAGTCGAAAGTTGTCCGTCTGGTTACATTCTGTAAGTCATTCAATCACAGCGGCTGAGACATCAACCAAACAATTAAGACAACAGAGGTTACAATCTGACATTCTGGTATGAAGAATTGTTGTTCTGTCAATAACTCACAAGACAATCCACCTAACACCCAAGACCTTGGCTCCGTCAACCACAAAGCCTTTGAGTGAAGAAGCAGAGCAATGTTTGAGATGCTGAACATAGCAAAAATAGTTCAGGTGTTGGCTCTGTATTTCTACAAGCAGGGTAGGATTACCACACTGCTCTGTATCACACCTTAAACTGGGACATAGAGTCTTCATCAATGTGGTTCACCCCTTAAATACAGGCTGGATTCATCAGAGGTGTTGGCTTTCAGTGAATTGCAGATCATATTTGTGAGATAAAACCCATTACATTCACAATGGACACGTTTCCATCAGCAGGACAGTGACAGAACACCTGTGGACACAAGTTACCTGCCCACCTACAGACATTTATTTTATTGGTTTCCCCTGAAGCTGAAGGTAGAAATTCTGAACTGTGAAAAAGAGGCGGAGAAACGAGTGTTGGTGCAACAGTGGCACCTGACAGAAAACATTACTGTTGTCAAAACAAACACAGTTATACAACAAGTAACCAGTAAAGGCACAAAAATCATCTCAGGTAAGTTGTGCTCATCTTACAGCATGTCCAAAAAATTATTTTCATTTGCATTTTCAGCTAACAACTGACTTGAAAACTAAGATTCTTTGTAGCAACTTAGTAAGCTCATTTCACACTCAACTCCATTTTGAGACTGCGACGTGGCTCAGAACTTGCCCTTCTTCTTTTTCCAGGGCTTCTTCTTTGACTTGGAGTCAACGATCAGCTGAGACTGACGCTTCAGCGCCTCCCTTGAGATGATGTCAGCCTCGTCCTCCTCGCTCTCGTCCTCTGAGACACAACAGTGACAGTTTGAGACAAAGACAGGTTTAGACTTTGTGCTTGTATTAGTGTGTGTGCGTGTGTGTGTGTGTGTGTGTGTGTGTGTGTGTGTGTGTGTGAATGTGTGTGAGTGTGTGCGGCTCCCTACTCACCGTCATTGAAGAGGTCCAGTCTTTGGTCCTCAGGTAGCTTGACACGGGTGTTGTAAGCTGGCAGTTTCCCCTCGATCCTGACGTAGAACTGCTCAGAGCAACAAAGAGACACACAATGAAACTAGTCAATTGCCAAAGTAGATTTTCAATATTTATTATTAATCCTCAAAATCCCATATGTCCATGGAAATCTGGCTTCTATCTGACTTTAAGTAGGTCTTCACATGCTCACAATAGAAAATGTGATTAAAAAGTTATTCACAAAAAATATGTCAATGTTTAATTCTAGTATTATGTTTATTTTTCCTGTATAGGTGATTTATTTTAGATTTAAAACTTATAAACTGAATTTGTTAGTGTTTTTTAGAAACAAAAACTTTAAGAGAGACACATTTGAAGTTGTAGAAGAGATGGGATCTTTTTGAAATGTATCTATAGAATCTAGACTACAAACCACTAACCACTGTTTTATCTATTTTATATTATTATAAGTGGTCTTTTACATAGGTCTGGTGGTGTTTACCTATGATAAGTGTTAACACTGACTACTTCTAGAGTGATGTTTATGTCTGTGTCCTCATCATCTAACAGGTACTGTATGATGATCAGCAGGTCGGTGTCTCGCAGACTTGATGTTCTACTTTGTGGTAGAGGTGCGAGTTAGGACAGCCAAGCAGTTTCTAACTGTACCAGTCAAGCAAACAAGGCTAGACTGATTTTAAAATTATCACCTCAGATTTACGTCAATCACAAAGATTATGCCTTCTAAAAAGGGATCTGAGAGTAAAATAGTCAATGTCATTAGTAAATGACTGTTACGTGTTTCCTATGGTACACTCTGATATCCGATGTTCTCAAACAGAGCAGGCGCTGCCAAGCGTTAGTAATCACAAGCAAACACTTCAGGTGGCTCTAATGGCTGCCTTTCCATTCAGATAAGCTATGCAACCACAGCAGCATGCATAACATGCTCAGCCATGCTCTGTTCATTTGTCACTCTGTGCAATGTAGGCTTATACAGGAGACCTAACATGCCCTTTGCCAAAACTGCATTTATCATTGAAAGTTCAACCTACATACAGTTAGTTCATGTCAAAAAAATAATTTTACACAAACCAGTTTTGATATTCCCAAACCCTTTCATCAAAACAAACACAATACCAGCACTCACACATAAATAGTCTAGATAAAATGTTCGTAAACTGAAAGGTAGTTAATACATAAGACTGAATGCCCAAGCCCAGAAACATAGAGCAAGAAGCTATATATACAGAGTTATCCAGAGTAATAAATGAAAGAATAAAAAACAATTACTTTACATGATAATACAGAGAAAAACCTTCATGATGTACATACATTCACATAGTATATGTGCCTTAAAACTGTCCTAATGAATGTGTAAATAGAGAGTACATAATACCCAAAGAAAAGAAAAAAATCACTGAAACAGGATTTGTCTACAATGGGGTCAAATAAAAAAGAGACATAAAAGCCTATTGAATTTTTGGAGAGCACAACAATACAACAATATTGCCCACAATAACCAAGGATACTCTCAACTGTGAGTGCTGATACTTTTGTTTTAATGCTTGCTTATAACAGTGATTTGGACCTGTGCTCGCTGCTACTTCTCATTGTACCCAAACCCTTTCCTGTACTCAGTTACAGAGATATTACTGGCAGACTATGTTGGTCACATGGCCTTCATCATCTCAACAGAGACATCTATTCACGTATAATGCTGCTCATGATCCAACATTTTCTCTTAGGGAGGACAGTATGTACGACATGATTCATCTAATTAATTGCTCGTGTCAAAACCACAACCCGCATTTCAAACCACTGCTGCTGGATGAGTGTTGTGGAGGTTCGACTCACCTCCTCCTCCTCAATCTCCTTCATAATAGCAGCTGTATCCTTTCCCTGAAGCTCCTCCTGCAGCAACTGCAACTTCAGCTCACACTGGGTCATCAGCTCTACCACAAACTCATCTGAGTCTGGAGACACCTCGGCCACGGTGTCCTCACTCTGGAGAGAAATGGAAGCAGGGTGAAAAGAAATGAGCTTGATAGTTAAACTCAAATCTACAATCATGATGGGTGAGGTCATGTTTACCAGCGTGATGTGTTGAAGTTTGTCTGCGAGGTGCTCCACTCCGGCTCGGACAGTACTGAGGGCTTTAACAAGCCAATCCAGCTGCTCTTTACCTGCATCACACCTCTGCTGTTGAGCCTGCAGCTGCTGCTCGCACTCCTCCAGCATCTGGTGGTCACTGATAAAACGAGAGAGAGAAAGCATTACACGGCTTCATACATGATGCCTTTATTCCACTATCACTGTCTGAGTGTCTCACCTGGAGAGTTTAGCCTCTCCAGAATATTTCATATCCTCGAACTGTTGCCTCAGGAGCTCCTTCTGCTCCTTCAGCTGCTGCAGCACCTTCTCGTTCTCTTCCTTCAGCTTCTCCAGATGTTGGTGTGTCTCCTTCTGTGAGATAAAGCGCTCTGCTATCTCCTATACACAGAAAAACATAGATATGTAATCACTGATAGTAACCATATAAATACATCCATGGACAGTATGTGTAGATGAATAGACCTTCTCTTTCCACATCCCTACCTGTATATCTGTGACTCCTGTGGCCTCCTTGATGCGTTTGAAGGCCTCCTCAAAAGTAGAGATGGCCTTCTCCTCTTCACCGGCCACCCTGGGGGTGCTGCGCTGGGCCTCGCTGCTCAGTTCATCTGGCTGCATCGCTGTTCTCTGAGCCTAAAGGCAGCACAGGTTATAACCACTCAAAACATTACTTGATTCAATTCACTCTACAGAATGTCGCTGTTTTGAATTAAAGGTCCAGTGTGCAACCTTTAGGAGGATCTACTGTCAGAAATGGAATATAATATGGATAATTATGTTTTCATTAGTGTAAAATCCCCTGAATATAGGAACTATTATGTTTTTGTTAACTTAGAATGAGCCTTTGATATCTAAAGACACTGCGGGGTCGCCTTTAAAGGAGCCCACCATGTTACTACAGCTCTAGATAGGGGCGTTCACCTGCTTTGGTCAGTTTCGCAGCACCGTAGTAGCAAATGATGCCACTAAATTCTACATACTGGACTACATATATATGTATATTTTAAACCACCACATATATCTCACCCTTCTATCAACTTTTTCAGCTTGGGCCTTGCGCTCCTCAACCTTTTTCCTGTAGCTGGCAATAATACGCTCTCTCTCCTTGCGCTCCTTGTAGAGCAATTCCTCTTGCTGCTGCAACTCAGCCTGACAGTAAGAAGAAAGGGAAGGGGGTAACACAAACAACCTGTGAGTATGTAAGCAGTGAATTTGTCATGACTACAATTCAGATACAGATAAAAAGGATTTTTTATAGAGGCCGTCACAGAGGAGGCACCTTCACCCATCATAATCTTCAGCTGCACATTTATTTTAAAGAAAGACAAAGAGAGAGAAGAAAAACAATTCTGTTTGCACAATGTATGGTAAGATGAGGTAAGCTTATGTATCTGTATTTGTAAGTTGTATATATGCATCAAAATGAAAAGGAACAGGAATAATCACTTAAAAACTGTTTTACTTGTGACTCATAAAACTTAAATCAGAAGTATGACAGTAATGATGGGTGAATCATCCTTCTGACGCCTTCATTAGAATTAATAACACATTTGTGAACTCGTAGCAGAGGAGGTAACCTTGGCAGCTTCTTTAGAGAGCTGGGCGTCGTTGTTCATGACCTGCATGTTGTGGAGCTCCTCTCTGTGCTTCAGGATTTCTGCTTCCAGACTGTCCAACTGGCCCTGGAAAGTCAGACTCTCCTCCTGAAGAGATGACAGTGGAAAAGTGAGGGATAGAGAGAGAAAGCACAGGAAATAAGGAAAGAGTGAGCGCAGCAGAGAGTGTTTTACAAAGGATAAGATGATAGGAGGACTGATGCAACACTAACGCCAGGACCACTGAATGAATTATTACTGGCTAATCAGGTTGTGATCTAGAAATGAAAGCTTGATCTATTAAGTTGCACTGGATAACAACATTAACCACATATGAAATGTAACTGTAAATCAATTCAACTATTACCACTACTACTATTAAAAAAAGGGAGGTCAAGCACTGTGCAGTGAGCCAGGGACAGGAAGTACTATACCATTTGGAAAGTCTCAGTCAACATTTAAATATCACACATGCAAAGTCCCGTATCGAAGGTACAACACCACGGGCCATTACTCTGCAGAGCAACAGCGCATGATACTTGAATGAAAATGAATAACAGACTGTGTGCAAAATGCTCTTAGTGTATCTCTCGGTGTCTACTGATGGCTAATGCAACTTACCATATTTGTACTTTTAAATCACTTGTGATTCTATTAAATCACAATGAAAAAGGCTCTCAGAATAACCTCTACACAGGCAGCTCAGTACAATCAGTGTTTTTTAGACACAAATCATTATGGGAGGCAGTGGCAATGATAGTCCCACCTCACGTCCAACAAGTGAAGATGAGTCATTTTGAGGCTAAAAATGTTGGACTAACCTGCAGGTGACTTTTGATTTTCTGATAGTTAGTCATGATGTTCTCAGCCTCCTTGCACTTAAACTGGGTCTTCTCCAGACTGTTCTCCAGCGCCCGCAGTTTCTGATGACACACGCAGCATTGTTTACAGGGCATGCATGCACGCACTGTTCTGTCATGTTTTTTATTAAGAGTGAAGAAAAATACATCTCTACATGAGCTTGAGAGGTAAACTACCATGGCATCTTCCTCTTTTTTCTGAGTGCGAGCGTCAGCAGACTGTGCTCCATTGCTGCCCTCTGGTTTCATCCTCTGGTATTCCATCTTCAACTCTTCCAGGCGGCGATGGTGGGTCTGGGTGGTGTGTTTTAGGGCATTGAGACGCTTCTTCTTAGACAGCACCCGCTGTTCTAGTGTTGTCAGGGCTTCCTGACAAAAGGGTAATGACAGCGAGAGGATGTGTGATTAAAAGAGAGACAGACATGCAGACTGTGAGGGGCGAACAGAGAGAGTTGTATGCTTGTGAGCAGTCTCAATCTATTATTTATATTACTAAAATAATTAGACACAAGGCTGAGAACTCTTTTCCATTTCAAATGTAATTGTTAGCTTGCTACTAATAATAGCTGAGGTGTTGAGTGAAAGCTATGGTGAAAATAATTAACCTAATAAGCATGAACAAACCGCTGCTGCTGTAGAAGCATATTAGCACACAGTATTTATGCTCCTTCCTCTCACCTTCCCTGACATGTTGCGGTAGGCGTCCTTCTCCAAGCCTCTGTTATGAAAGGCCACTTTGATGACATTATCATCACCCTGGGAGGCAAAACACCACAGGGAACAACACTGTTAAACAACTTGGGTCATGTGTAATCTCTTAAGGCTTTGAGTATCATGTGAACCTTGTAATTGCCTGCAGTTTAGTCACACATTTCAAACAATATGATTAAATAAACAGACAAAGCAATGGTTTACTCATCAATAAACAGATAAAGCAACGGTTTACTCATCAATAAACAGATAAAGCAATGGTTTACTCATCAACTACCTATATACTATAAAGTGGAAATATCACTGACAGATATTGTAAAGAGGTTTCAAAGTGAACAAGATTGACATAGTGAGGAAAGTCAGGTATGATCTGTTTTACTGTTTACTGTGAAGAGCTGGGACTCACAGCATTGACCTCTGCCAGCTGTCTGTACAGCCTCTTGTTGTCCTGCCTCAGCTGGCGGATGGACTCGGTGTTTCTCTTGATGGTGGACTGAGAGCTCTCATAGTACGCAGTTCTGTCGCCCTCTGGTGGACACATTTAATGGTTACACACCAATGACAATGGAGAAATTATCTCATTATTGTCTAATAAATACTAATTAGCTGCTTTTTCTGTTGGATTTAGTTTGGGGTTTACAGTGGCTAGTCACATAATAACCTATATATGACAGCTACCTAACTACTTGTAGCAAAGCTCACTTCCTTTAGCAAGAACTGAAATCAGAACACAAAGTAGTAAAACAAACTCACCCAGTAGCTGGATTTTACGCTGCAGCTCCGTTATCTGGTCATGCAGCGGAGGTTTAATCGTGTCCGCACTGAACGGCATTTTTGTCCTCTCACTGTTGTACAGAAGCAAAGACACAGCAAAGAAACCTATGCCAGCAGTCAGTGTTGGCTTGACCTAAACCAACACCTCTTGTAGGCTCCGGTGCTGCCTAGCAACATGTACACTTACACCAAAGCGAGGCTCCAATTAACCCTGTGTGTGCCGAGCTCCTGCGATGATGAATTATACAGACTGCAACTGTGACCTCACTGGTTATCATTAAAACATGCTGTTTATGTGATAAATACAATACACTATAGCACTAACTTAGGTCCATATGCTTATTCTGGTTACTAAATATTTCAACATTAAATGTTAAATATCAATAGCTACCAAGAACCCTGCTCCTGTGAAAAAACCAATGACTAAATGCTACAAATACAGGAAGCTACAGCCTGAAATACAGCCTACAATTTGTAAGCTGTGTATGGAGACTAGCTTAGGCCTATATTGCCCAATTATGACCACTTTAAAGATTTCATACCTGAAACTATATTTATTATATGACTGTACACAATACATGTTTGTTACATTTATTTATTTCTTTATTTTTTAAATATTTAATGCTCTTGTATTTCAAATTGTACTTTACTGTATACATTTCTTATTCTTCATTCTGAACACTGATATGGCAACACAAACTTTTATTAATATACAACAAAATGAAAGGTAATGTAAAACTTTTACAAACTCAAAATTTGCACATTAATCATGGATATGTTTTGTGTTCAGAGGAGAGAATGAACGAATAAAGAACAAGTTGTTAAAAATAATGACCAAAGCAAATCCAAGCGAAACCACTTGGGTCATTTGTAATCTTTGAGTATCACACTAAGCTTTTAATCGCCTGCGGTTTTAACAACTTTGCTTTGGTGAGCTAATTTCAATCAGTGCAATATGCAAAACTAAACAGATAAAGCACAGCTTTACTCATGTATTAACAGACTACATCTTCCATTAATTGGAGATCTCGCTAAAAGATATTGGACCCTTCAAAACTTCCACATAAACTAAATGACAGAATACACAAAAAAGGGACGAAAAGCCAAAATGAAAACCGTTTTAAGGCAAACTGTTACTTAAATTAACTACAATTATCGTCTGTAACCCAAGCTGCCACATTGCTTCTGTAAAGGAATCTCCCTTTTTGGGGAAGTACAGGGAGACAATGGGCTTAAGGCCTTGTAACAAAATACAAAAGCATCAATAATATCAAACAGACAACAGAAATGAATCTCATTTGGCAGAAAGACACAAACATACATACATTTGTACACAGGAAATGGCACAGTAATTCCTCCTTTTGTTGATTTGAACTTAAAAACATTACACACACGCACACACACGAAACACACACACACACACACACACACACACACACACACACACACACACACACACAAAACTGTGACTTAATCTACAGATTTGGGCTCTTCATTGGATTTCTTCAGGAGGGAGAGCAGGTGCTGGGACATGAAATACGGCCTTTCTGCTGATCCATCGTTGCGCTCCAGATCCTCCACTGTGACATGAACAGAAGCAGTTAAAGAACATTTTATCAAAAGCACGCTAACAATAAGTGATTTAACTGCTCTTGTATTCATACATTGACAATCTATTATTTAGAAAGTCGGTGCATGATATTATGTTTTGCCTATCAGCTGGTTAAGAATTAAAGAGGCAATCCAGTAATTTAATACTGCACTTCCATGAGGTAAGGGGAGACAGTTGAAGAGTAACTCCCAATCTATGGGTTGGGCCTCTCGAAGGGACTCCAAATATTCTGGATACTACCTCTTCAGGCATCTAAAAATCCTTAGATTAGGACATTGACATTGCTTTATTTAACATCATAAGCCAGAAATGTTGGGATCCACTACTCTAAATCAATGTCGTAGAAGATGGGTCAAGTTCTGAAAACTCACTGTACTAGAATTCCCATAATTCAAATCTTTTTGTTATCTTGTTGTATGCCCACTCCTTTAAAATATTAGGGCCCCAGTGTGTAACACAGGCTTTATGGTGAAAATGTGTAGCCCCCAATCCCAATGAGTAAAGAAATCTTCTTAAAGAAGGATTCTACAAGTAAAGTGAATTTAACATGTAAAACTGTTGGGAGTGTCCCTTTAAGACAAAATCAAAGTTCGGGCTGACTTTGTTGCAAATGAAAACTCACCTGCTTTCAAAACTCCAAACCACCTTGAAACTCATGCGTTTACCCATAACAGAACTACTATGATTAAATACAATCACCTTTAATCAAGATTTACATCCAATAAATATGGAATGTCATCAGTAATTTTAGTGGAAAATCAACTTACATCTTTCACAAGTTGACAAACAGGGGAAAAAAGTACAAAAGCATCCAGACACTTAAGATGTTAGCCGCGAGCATTCAGAAGGCCATGTCAACACCATGCAGCACTTAGAAAGACAGAGAGACAGAGAGAGGACAGGGACAGGGCAAGGCAGGTGGGATCAGTAAACAACTGTTGGGGTCTGCAGAGAGGTCACGATGGCTGCGTCATGGCGACACAATCACAGCACTTACGCCAGTCCGAAATACCAAGGCAAGTAGGTGGCAATACAATACATGGGATCCCATCTAGACTGAAGCCAAAAAATACATAATGGACATACACTACTGTATATATATAAGTCCCATAGCGGAAAAAGATCCAATATTCATACAGTATATCAAATATGTCTGTAACATTTTGGCGTCAGCTGGTATTATTGTAAACAGTGAAAGAGATTCACCATCGATTGAGATGTGTTTGTTCTGACTGTAAACACGGTACTTGGTGGTTCTGTAGTGCATAACAGGATTAAGACAATAACTATTAGTGACAGTAATCAGGCACAGGTTTAGCACTCACAAAGTTCTACAGATCTTCACAATATAAAAACCAACACTGTTCTAAAACCAACACAAGAGAGCATTTTTTCAAGCTACAGAGATGCACTGGGCTTTGACCTGCTTCGACCTTCACATGTCGACCACGACCTTCTCCAGCTTGACGTCACACCACTCAAATAGCAAGGCGATCTGAAATTTTAGCTTGTTGTATGCCATACATTTAACAGGTCCATATCACAAAGTTGCAGTACAGTTTTTTCATTCTTTATGCTTGATGAGGTTTACCACACCATTTTTTTATTTTTGCCTTTACATTACTGCTAACGTCTACTCCTGTGGTGCAGACGGTGGATTTTCTTCCTCTTTCTCCTCTTTCTTTTCACCAGTCTCCTCTTTCTTAGCCTCCACAGCAGGAGGCGACACTTCCTCAGGCTTTTCCTCCTGTTTCAACTCTTGCTTTTCTGCTGCTTCTTTCACCTCTTCTCTTTCCTGTGGTTCTTCTTTCTTTTCAGCATCCTCTGCCTCGCTTACTTTTTCTTTCTTCTTTTTTTCCTCTTTTGGCTCTTCGGCATCCATCTTGGACTGCAGAGGCTGCTCCTCTTCGTTGTCCTGCTTTAGCACTGTCTGCTGTTTAAGTTGGATCTCTCCGTCTTGTTGCTGCTGAAGAGGGGTCTCTTCCTCCAATTTCACCTCGTCCGCCGGCTTGGCAGAATCCGCCTGCTCAACAGCATCGCCATTTTCCTCCAGCCTCTTTGTTTTGGAGAGGATCTCGTGCAGCTCGGGGGACATGAAGTAAGGCCTTTCAGACGAGCCGTCATTTCTTTCCAAGTCCTCACCTTTTGTGTGCGCGGGGAATGCGTATTTTGTGTTTTTGAGTGGGTTAATGGAAAATCAGGGGGAAATGAAAACATGAAATAAAGGGAATGTGTGAAAATAAGGTAAATTAATGGGAGAAATGAGACAAAAGAGAAGAAGAATCAGAAACATGGCAGGAAGAAGAAACCAGCATGTTTTGCTTTTGACAGTTTTATGAGTGCTTGAAAACAAGAAGACGAAGAGAGAAGACCTGGCTGAATACAAAGTTACTCACAGAAGCAGAGGAACAGTGTGTCCACACACATGGCGTACACGCTGAAGAAGCCATGGGCGATGAGGTAGGATCCCACTACCAGTGTCTAGGCGAGAAAAACACATACATCAAGACCTCTGCTGTGGCATCAAAGCCCACCGGTGAGCTCAAAGAATCAAATCATACAATATAACTCTCTCACCAGTATTGGCACCCAGTAGTAGTTCAGAGATGGAGCAGCCTCCTCCACTGCTTTAATTCTTCCAGAGAAGAAGAAGAAAGAGAAGATCCCTGCACAGAAAAAAAGTGAATTAGTGGATTTAAACTAGAACTTCAGTTTAGAGAACAGACGACACTTTTGGTCTAAGAATAAAAGCTCTCCTACCAACAATTCCAACGATGAGGAGCTTCCCAAGAAACAATAGGAAGTCAGTTACTTTATCTAAAACAGCCACCCTGTGTGGAAATGGGTACAGTTAAAGACTTTGAGAGTAAATAAGCAATTTAAACCAGAATAGATTAAACATTTTATAAATGTTGCAGTTTAATGGTTATAGAATTATAAATTGTGGATATAAATATAATGAAATTCCACCTGATGATGTTCCTCATGAGAAGGAAAAAGGCATCTCGAGCTGAGGGACAGAAGCTTTTTCCATAGATGGCAATCTGGAGAAAAACAACAATTTACCACATTAAAACCTCACCAGATTCAACATCTCTTAATGCTGCTGTGACCAGCTACAAGTGAACTCACCATGATGTAGGCATTTCTGTTAAGGAACTTGATACATTTCTCCAGACACCAGAAGCAGCACTTCATGCAGCTCAGCAGGAATTTAGCAAACTTGTTCTGAGCACCTGAATGACGAGAGCGAGAATGTTACAATTACAGCAACAAACGATTACGAACGAAGTTATATGCACCTTTGATACCCTGTACGTGTCCCTCTTGCTAAAAAGTAATCAGATAACATGCATTATTCTGACCTACCCATTACACATTACACATGCATAAAACCAAAACCAGGATTCAACACTAACCAGTTTAACCACCATACCCTAAATACATAAAGTCACTGATAAATATAGTGACAGATTGATAGAAAATAGCCTGTTCCACGTGGACTGTGCAACGTTAAGACTGTTAACATACTCAGAAAGCTGATTTCTTATACAAATATGTTAAATATTTTAACATATACATAATAACTAATAATTCTAGTTGACATTGCTTAGTGCTGCTTATTCTCTTTTACTCTGTGATGCTTGCTTGATGTTGCGGACTCTGTTGGATAAACGTTGTAGTTAAACCAATATAACATATTATACTGTTAAACAGTTTTCATATCGGACCATAACAGATAACATATACATAATAATAAATTAAAGGATTTGGCTGCTATAGGCCAATACTGTGAATAAATATGGGCCAACAGATATATTGATCTGGCTCTAATAAATATATCATAATGATGGGTAGTCGAGACATTTAGCAAGTCAGTTATCTTGTTCTGAAGTTAAATCTTCTGACCTTTCAACTTGTGATCGAGGTACTCCAGAAGGACCCTGATGACCTGGACCATAGACAAGATCAGAGAGCCAAAAGCCAGGGAGCCTGTGTGGTATCTGGACAAAAGGGGAGATAGAAGCCATCTGTGAGCATGAAACACTCCCTGTCGCACAGCTAGGGTAACCCACCTACTGACATTAGCATATGCCTCACTTCCACTTGCACAAGCTTTAAATATACACAAATACAGGTAAGTGTACAAATTAAAATAATCTAACCGGAGGGCCCGTCCCAGCGAGGCGAAGATGGGGAAGGCAGGGATATCTTCAGGCTTCTTGAAGGCCCAGTAATACGAGGCGAAGGCCCCCGACAGAGTGACCTGGCCCAGGGCCGTCACAAAGTTGGCGCACCAGAAGAAGAGGAACACATTGTAGAACTGGAACAGGATGAGGTATTTGTGGTAGAGGGTCTCCCCACCATAGAAGGCAAACAGGCACTCTGCATCAGGACATTGAGTTGAAATGTTGGAGGTGTTGAATGTCTGGAGAAAAAGAGAGATGGCAGACCACAGGTCTATATATAGGTCTATATATATTTCATACAGGAAACTATGATCAAAAGTGTGATGCTGTCCAGCAACGTAATGGTCTCTTCCTCAAAGGTGTCAAATATAAGCAGAACATTTGTTTGGCTTTTTGGCTCAACCCCACACACACACACATACCTTGGGGTCGCAGGTCTCTCGTGAGTACTCACACTCAGAGTTGTTGAATACTTTGTACACCTGCTCATTAGAGGTGGACAAGAAACTGGTCGGAACAGTCAAGGAGATTATTACAAAGGGAGGATATCTCTGAAAAGGTCACAATCAAGAGACATCTATTTATGGGAATATGCAGGTAATTAAAGTTATAGAGCATATAGTAGTATATTTAGCATATAGAGTACAACAGTGAGAAGTAGTTAATGTGATGGATTAAATGTTTAACTGATGGATTAATTGGCTAATTAATATAGATGATTATTCAAATTGACAGATCTTCCATTTCATTAATTTAGGCAAGTATTTATCCATTTTTGTCATTTCTTTCATCTATTTTAAAATCTTTTTTACACCCTAACATATTTACTTTCTTTAGTGTGGAATTATCTTTTACATGTTTTCTTCTTTCTTTTCCTGTAACCCAAAATACATAAACTAGTAAGTATAGTATCGTAAGAATAAAAACCTATGCAGTGTGGAGTCGGAAATTTAACTTGCAATGGAAAGTGAAAAAAAAAACAAAACTGAGTGAATAACTATAAAATGACACATTTATGTTTTGACCATTTTTGATCATCATGTGGACAAATGAAAGGATACACAGCAGTGATGGCCCAGTAAGCAATCACCACGGCCAGGAGGGCAAAGGTCAGCAGTGGGTAGAACAGCGAAGACATCACATGCCCAACAGCTCTGAAAAACAATCAAAACATTATGTCAATAAGTTTAGATATAATAGTCTCCAACAGTTGGCTAAAAGCTCCCTAAACAAGGAAACTCAGCTTAGCACTCCTTTAGACAAGAGCTATACTTCCTTTTGGACTGTTAGTTGTGCACACTGTGTACGCAATACAAACGTGTGGATAAAAAGCAAGTATATATCCAGCTTTACAGTAATATTAAGTGCAAGAACTAAAGGTCTCATCTTAGTGTTCTGACAAAAGCAATCAAATAAAGGAGCATTCATTCATTTTTTTTCACCTTTTGTTGGCAGCAAAACAAGCAGTAAATACAACATTGACATATTAATACCATATAATGTTGTTGTGCTAAATGTGTTACCAAACGTAATCCATAAATCCAAAACAATGAGCTGAAAGACACTGAATCGCTTTGTAGAGCTGAGGAACACTGCAAAGTCACTACAAGCTTACACATAATAATAAGCTTAATAATAGTAATTTAATTGATTGTAATTCTAATATTGATTAGGGCAGCTTTAAAATATGACGCTGTACAATGCCAGACTGGGATTCAGACTGACCTGCTGGCCTCTTTGATGAGGGCGATGGCAATCAGGATTCTCTTCCTGAGGAAGATGAGTAGCAGGATGATGATGACCTCCACAATAGCCAGGATGATCACTGCAAAACAGTGAAGGCATTAGATTAAAAGAATTCATAAACACTTCATACAGTGATGTGTTAAAGAATAAAAAGTGTGTCTGTGCGTACTGAAGGCCAGCCAGGTCTGTCTGATCTGCAGGTAGACAGAGAAGTCCGTCTGCAGGCCCAGGTCACGGATGGTAACGTCAGCACCCGGCTCTCCCTTCAGACTCGCAAACTCCATGTAACAGTGGAAAATCCCTAAAAATTTGTTGAAATATTTATACGTTTTTCATTTTAATATAAGCAGATAACAACTTTATCACCTCCAGAGACTGAAGACTTACCATATCCGATGACTAGAATAACCAAAACAATCATGACCCAGACCATGATGCCAGCCAGGAATCGCAGCAAGACGATGAAAATCAAGCTGACCACCATGGCGATCACCAGGCCACTGGAGAGGTTGGACACATCAAATATTGTAACAGAGTTAACAACTGAGTATTTTAGCATTGCCTGTAATCTTTGTCTTGACAGTTACTGTCATGGATATTTTTCAAAAACATTTAACAGCAATGATAACTGCAGTAAATTGGCTGACTGAATCTGTTTAGTGGCTATAAAGAACAGTTAATGTATAAGAAATAAACTGGTGTAATTTATCCTGTAAATCTTAGGAACAATTTGTCTTGCATTGTGATGTTTTTAACAACACATTTCTGTTATTGTAACCAGGAGGAAGTAGGCAGACTTACAGTAATATCCAGTGCCAAGACTGCGTGTAGTCCTCAAAGATTCTCATGGCCACCTGGCGAGCTTCAACAACCACATTTGACTTCCTGTTACAAAGGAAATTTAATTAAAAACAACAAAAAAAAAGACAATGAAAAAGAGAAGCACTCCAAAATAACATTGTAGACAGCTGCCAGTATGGAGCACTGAACCTCACAAAATACGCTACAGTGTAATAGTAGTTAAAGCAATTAGCTGGCAAGGTTGGGCTTCTTAGCCAAGATAATTGTAGATTTAGACATGAAACTTAACTTTAACTCTTAGTTACTTAACACTTAATTTACTTAAATAATGGATTAAGTTTGTAATTCATTCTTAAGTGACTCGCTACAAAGGAATAATGTTATTAATTTATCAGGCTAGTCATGTCACATTGCAAATTAATATGGCAAATAATTTGACTTGGTTGTGTAGCTTTACACTCTCCAGCAACGGAGATGCTTCTGCTACAAGAATACAACATAACAGCCTGTAATACTCATCATCTTGATAAATAACAGGCAGGGAGCATTGCAACCTCCCCAGTGGGAAAAACGCTGATAGAAAACACTGACATAAACACCCTCCAGGGTTCATGCAAATACCGCAGATCGAAAGCAGGCGTACACTGTACCAAACACACAGCATACGGAGCAAATGAGAAATAACACGTTTAAATTGGACACTGTAGTGAGACATGATGGGGATGTGATGCAAGATGTGTTGAGCATCGAGCCTGAACTGGTTCATTTAGCCACCTAACAGCAAAATGTCAATTTCCCCACAAAGGGATTCAATTTACAATTATAAACTTATTGTCAATATGGTCAAAATAGTACTTTTCTGTCAATTAATCATGAGGATTAAATTAATAATTGTTTCAGCACTAATTTACTGAACAGTCAGTGGCCATTGCATTCAGGGGACCCCTGCTGATTTATCCAGGAAATTTCACACATTTAATGAGCATCTGTTGGTCATTTCAGAGCCTTTTGAAATAATGTGAAATTATTAGTGCTGTCAAACGATTAAAATATGTAATCGCGATTAATCGCATTAATGTCATAGTTAACTCGCAATTAATCGCACATTTTTATCAATTCTAAATGTCCCTTGATTTCTTTTTGTCCAATTATTTTTTCTCATTTTAATGCTCTCAACATGGAAAAGTGGATCGGCTTGCTTTGTGTTTTATTGAAAACAACATTGGCATATACTGTAGTGTTCAATTTCACACTAACATTCTCACTTGGAGCAAATAATCTCTCACACAATGTAACACTGTCCATCAATAAAAGGGTGAAAAAATACTTTGTCACACAAACAGCCCCTTCAACAGCCCTTTCTAAGGGATGAAAACAGGGCGATACAAAATAAAATTACAAAGTGCACATGTAAGGTAAACTAGGACTCAGCCTGTAGTGCAGTTAAACCAGGGCTTAATACTTTTCTCAAGTTTGCTTTGAACATAGCAGTCAGGCTACTGCTCTTTATTCACCAGAGGCTCAACCCAGCCTCTTATTTCAGAAAGAATGAACAGTAACGGTTACCAATAAGAGGTAAGCCTACTACTTCTTTGCTTTGAGCCAGTTACTCAAACAGACAAGCCTGTTGACATTTTCAGACAACAAGGAATCCATCCTTTTCGGCGTCTCGCGCTCGCCATCCACTCAAAGCGTAACGTCTACTACTCTTAAACAAGTGTGTGCGGCGTGCCTGTTGTTTTGTTTCCGGTCTAGCTAGATCCGGTGTGGTGTGTACTAGTTGTTGCAACAGCATGTGAAAAAAACTACAAAGTGTGCTAGGCGTTAATCTCGCGATAAAAAAATTGACGCTGTTAAAATGGGTTTGCATTAGCGCCGTTAATAACGCGTTAAACTGACAGCACTAGAAATGATAACAGGATCGTACCCGTGTATTAATCAGTAAACAGTTCTGCAATTGTGCAGCATAACCAGACTGATTAATGTTATAATATCAGCATATTATGTGTGTACATGTGTGTTGCCATACAGTGAAAAGGACTCACTTGGATGCCTCGAGCACATCTGTGGCATTGACGGCGGTGCCCTCTCCGCCATCAAAAGTGGTCTCATTGCCCACCACCACCACTCCGCCTTTCATCGTTCCCAAGGCAGGAAGGCAGCGACGGGTGACTGTGTAGGGAAAAGATGATCCATTCATATGGTTTTATATGTTTCCGTTTCAAACTTGAACAACAGTCGTACAGACACAGCAACTTGTAGTGTGGGTGAAAATGAAATAAGTTCAGAAGAGAAACAAGCTCCTCACTTACAGGGTTTACTGGGCATCAGCATGGCCGGACACAAGCTATCCCTCAAAATCTCAGGAGTACTCTGTATCATGTAAAACAGTCTTCAGTGCACTTTTAAAAACATCTCTATTGTACTGTAATGTACATTTCACAGGGCCACTGTGAAAAAATGTGAATACTCAAATGACTTAAATACGTACCAATTTGGCAAAGTCCACTCCTTCCTTACAGTATTGTTTGTAGTATTCATGATCTTTGCTGTTTAGCTTGGCTTTCACCAATGTCAAATGCCTGTCAGGACAGCTTTCCACACATAACTGGACACAATAAAAACATACAATCAAGGTTGTGAATTAACAGGCTTGTTAAGAAGTAACAACTTTAAAAAATATATATATTTTTTGCAATGAACATAAAATATAAGTAGATAATCATATCTGACCTGTGTGGTGGGACACTGGAACTCCAGCAGGACCAGAGGACTGGCACATTTCAAGATGTTGAAGTAGAACAGAAGAGGCTTCTTCCTGTCACGTGAGAGCAAAACTATAAAATTATTTGGCCTGTATCATAAATAAATGTCTCTTAAGTCCCAAATCAGATTACAGTAATACCAATCATTATCTGAAATACACAACATAGTCTGCATGGACACATTCACTGTAGACAAATACGTTCATACTGAACTCACTCCAGAGGTGTTCCAGCTTGTCCACAGAACTGCCCCCTGCTGTCTGTGGGGTAGATCACTTTCCTGGGGTCACCTTGAGACCAGGCTGCATGGAGAAGAATTAGAATCATTCAGAACAAAAGTGAACATTAGTTCACATGACAATAAATAATACAAATGGAAAGTCACACAAACAAAAAAATGAACTGGATGTATAAATGAATGCATTGCTGACAACAAGTGACATTTAAATACAACTCCAGTTCGTAAAGACAAACTCTGTTCATATTGTAGTAATGACATGGAAAAAGGTCTATCTAATCTAAGCAAACAGACAAAGCATTGCGTCTTAAATATGTAAAGGATTCCTCACTTTGAGAAGAGGACCAGAGATCAAAATCAAAACACACATGTATGTTGTATCATGTTTTGTATCAGTGGCCAATATCATAATAGTATATATGGTGGACTCGCTGTATCTAAGGGATCTGGGAAGAGCCTTATACACCACCCTGATGAATGCAAGAATAAACCATGTCGTACTGGAGAACAGTCGTTCATTTTGATGGTCTCAAATATATAAAATAAATAATACACATTAAGCAATAATAAAAGTAGGGTATCTCTACCATCATCATGTGTCCATTCAATAAAGTGGTACATATAAACTTACCAAGGATGCCCACAGCAAAGTACCCGAACAAGGCTAAGATGAAGAGAATACAGCAGAGGATATCTGTGCAGCCCCTGAGGAAGAAAAATATTGTTAGTGGTCTCTTGTAGATCAGAAAGAAAAGAATTACGATCAGCAGTTTAAACAGATGTCTCACCTGTTGTGAATTGGCCCTTTGAAGTTTGGGTCAAATTTCCTGGACTCCCCTGTGGATAAAAAGAAACAACAGGCTTGTCAGAGTCTGACTGAAAACTATTTTGTAAATATATTGAATTCTACCCTCGGTGTAATGGGACTATAACACACTCATTAAGGCCAGTTGAGAAAAATCCAGCGGTGTCACTTCAGAAACTCTTTTGGCTAACCACTAACCTCTGTGCTACTGTCTGAATGTGACAGTGTTAACCACCACCTGCTGGGGAAAGGTTGCAAACACCCATCACACCGGCCAAATAACAATTTGTGAATCCCTTGGGTGCTGATACCGTTATTGAAATTAAGATCACAATTTTAATAGGAATACGTCTCAGATATGGTAATATGTCATGGTATGGCATCAGATTAAACTCTCCCAACACGTCAAACAAAAACATTTTGATATCATTTTTTTCTGTTTCTAATTGGAATTTGCTTTGAATCTGAAAAACAGAATTTTGTAAAATAAATATTCAAATACAATTGTATGATCATACTGTTTTAATACGATTCCACTGAACAATAATGATAATATAATAATGTTGAAGGTTAAACAGTGGTCTTTGCTGCAATAGATTTCCTATGAATACCTTTGAAGTGCTTATTGTCTCACAGTGGTTATATAAGTAGCTATTTAAAGCAGGGCTGAAACTGAGCTATACATCAGTTGTTTTTGTTTTGACACTGATTACACAAACTAAGAAATAATCTCTTTTTTTTAAATTATTGATACTTTATTAATTTCAATATACAGAGGAGTGTATAAATAAGTTCAGTGCATGGGTGCACACAAAGAGCACTCTCTGTGCAGGAGATATAGTACAATATATAATAAGTCCATGTATTATTGACAAGGGCAGGACAGCCTCCTGAACAAAAGGATTCTTCTGCCTGACTGTCATGCCTAGCAACCCACAAAATGGCTCCCCAGCAACGGTGAGCTCCCTGTGGACATCGCCAGCCGCCATGGAAACACCTCAGACACGGCAGAGGAGAAACATCAACCAAGCCCACTCTGCCTACAGTGAGTGATCGTGATGAGGTAATACTGTGAGTCAGCATTTTAAAGGAACAGTGAGTATGAATGTGCTCATCGCTCACATTACACCAAGTTACAACAACACAAGTTACACCTCAAAAATATGTGTTAAGACAGGAATTTATCAGCTTGGTGAAGAATTCAGTAAACATAATGTCCTCAAGCAACATCCTCTGGTTAGATAACCAAACTCTGTTACACATCCTGTCACATTACTGCAAATGTCAGCATGTCATGAAGTAGCATTTAAATGTTCCTTAAGCCCTGTTACAGACGCAATGTGGGAGTCAGAAGCGAGACCAGCTACTTGCTGTCACTGCCTTGTGCTTACATGCAGTACGTCTGCTACACCAAACGCTGCTCATACACTCACACACACATACACACACTGCCCACACACTGCACCGTTACCCAACTGGAACCATCAGAAACACGTTGCTGGTAAGTAGGAAAGTAAAAGTGCACTGCGAGACAGTTAAACTGCAAAACACATATGTGAAGATTCAAAGTGGTGAGATGACAAGATGAACGGTATACAGGTGCAAAGACTTAAGTTTCACTTGTGCAAAGAAAAGGAAATATGCACTTTTTCACACAGTATATACTCTACCTCAGACATATAGCGTGAATCCATCTACATACACTACCACAGAAACAGAAAATGATTCTATGATTTGATAAAGAAAATATAAGAGAACATTTATTTTGTAGTTATTTGTCAGGGAAATCAAAGAATCTTTTTCAGTTATAATTTGTCTTCAATTTCATTTTGTTAAAAAAAAATAGTGGAAAATTGCATTGTGAACCCAGTATAGTGAATTGTACTGAATCGTGAGTTGAGTGTATCATTACATCCATAACTTACAGCACTCCATTAACCATCACAATAAGTGAACGAGCCATGAGACATTAGTCAGTGCAGCTGTTGTTTGACACATTAATAACGTCAATAAGACCGTATTAACAAGTTAGCAACAAATTAACCTTCAGTTCAACATAAACCACGGCTGTTACAGTACCTTGTCTCTCGTATTTTGTCATTCCGTCGTTATTGTTTCTGTCATAGACGGTTTTATAAATTTCTCCCCGTCTGTTGTGTGTGGTAGTTGTCTCTTTATGTCCTGTACTTCCTATATTAGGTCTACATCATGCAAGCACTTACTCTTCACTTCCTTCTTTCAGTGTATTCAAAGCTCTGACTTCGTCTCCTATGCCCTCCTACTCTCTTCGGTCCCTCTCTTGGCTCAGGAGTTGTCGGGGGAATTGCAGTGAAAACCGTTTTGATGGGGGAATTGAGAGAGGAGCAGCAACAGCAACAAAGACTTGTGGTGCCTGTGAACCTGCTGTTGCCAAAATTGACTAAAGACATCTGACTACAGGGACATGTTCTGAAATCAAAACAGTATTTCACTCCACCATAAACAGTTATTTTAGTGTTCACTGTTTGCTTGTTACAGCTTTTTTCAGTGTGCAACAGTAGTCACATGTCCAAACAAGTACCACTCTCACAACAAGGCACTGGACATGGGCTTTGGAAAGAACACAGCAAACTGCAAACTTAACAGTTTTCTCTTTAACCCATTTCCAGTAATATTTATGGCCTCCTCTCAATGTTTTCTCAGTTTCCTGTTTCTACTTTAAGCCGTATTTTTCAGCTTGTGATAGCACTTCGACCACACCCCACCCCCCCACCCAAAGTGCTTATATATTCAAACTTCATATCACTAACTTCCTCAACAATGAACAATGATTTCTTGAAATGGTTTCATGCATTGTTAAGACAATGATTTGGTTATGATGCACTGTGTGTGCCTGACATACGAGGCGGTGAGCTGAACTGTACATGTTCGTGGTCTGGTCTGCCCACTTCCGCTGTCATGTGACGGACTGACAGCATGCCATAGCTTAGCATAGTTTCCTTAACCGATACTGGAGCACAACAGATGCTGGATTTGTGAGGCTGATATAAACAAGAAATAGTTCAACTGCAACACGAGATATAAAATGTTAAGTTTTAGAGGTGCTGGTGGGTTTTGTTAGATTTGGACTTGATTAATTCCCCCAGTCTTTATGCTAAGCTAGCTAGCCTTTTTCTGTACTGCAATTTCTTGTTACTTATGGACCAATAATATATAATCTAAAATGGGGTAATGATATCAGTATCCTTGTATTGACTGGGTTTTACAGTTATTTATAAAATATGCTGTCTGTGTTGGGAAAGTTTTGTTTTTTAAGTCATGTACTGTGTATTTTAACTTTTAGATTTCAACTGTTGAGAAATTACTGTTTACCATAATAATTGCATCATAAAGATGTACCGGCACATAACAGCGGGGGGTCTGAGTACGGAGGTGTTTAGTATTCTAGATGCAGTGAGACACCGGTCTGGATTGTTTACACAGTATTTATATAAAACATTAAAAGGGTTTTCTGTTGCTGTTTGCTCTCCCTCCATGCCTCTTTACTGAAGGGGATAAACACTGAAAGTGATTTTTCCAGCAGCCTTTCATTTGCAGGACCATCTGTGATTGTGAGAGACACAGCTCCATCAGAGCTGCCCGCTTTGTGCCATAAAACAATATCTGATTGTGCTGAAAGCATTCCAGCAGATTTGTTGTGTAAAGGCTGCCAAATGTCTTGTAAATGGTCTTGTTTGTTTATTTAATTGGCTGAATGACCGTGATAGTGGTTTTCTGGTGTTAATCTCAGTGACTGTAGCAACTTTAAGAAGAGATGTTTTTTAAAAGGCATAAATGTTATGGTGTTTTCATTTGGGGACCATGGGTTCCTCCAGTAGCTCATTAGATACTCGAGGGGCCCTTATGGTGAAAACCCAGAGGCCCTTCCAGACGATGTCAGTCTGCATACAGGTCCACATGGAGTTCAATATGTCTGGCAAACCTTACCCAAACCCTACTGATCCTATACAGTATATAATGAAATCATAAAATATATTTTTTGTGTGAATTGTTCATGTTAAAAGTGGAGTCATACGGTCTCTGCTCCTGCTGATGATATGATACGTTTCTCTAATCACGGCTGAGTGAGTGTGTGTGTGTTTGTGTGTGTGTGTGTGTGTGTGTGTGTGTGTGTGTGTGTGTGTGTGTGTGTGTGTGTGTGTGTGTGTTAAAGGAAGTGATGATGTCATGACTGATGTGACTCACTAATGGGCCCAGAGGGGTTATCAGATGAAGCCTTCCCTGGCTACCTTAATGGGTTAGTGGGAACTGTGGTTGTGTGTGAGAGTGTGTGTGTGTGTGTGTGTGTGTGTGAGTGAGTGTGTATGAATGTGTGTGTGTGAGTGTGTGTGCGTGTGTGAGTGTGTGTGTGTGTGTATGTGAGCGTGTACGTGCATGCAGACTGTACACCAAGGAGACATTCTGAGTATATCGTTTCTTCTCTGCTCTTCTTCCTACATTTTTATCTTTCTATTTGGAACATGTAGATAAAGATGATCAATATATAGAAACTATGTACTACAGTTCTACTGTCGTATCAAACAGCTGTCACTGCTTCAAAAAAAATACCCAGATCGCTACTAATGAAGTCATTGGCCTACATGCTCTTAAAATGAAAGAAGGAAACACATAAAAGTATTTATCTCTGGAACTAAATACTTAAAAATTAACAACCATTCAGATCACTATCTCTCTCTCTACTCCTCATCAAACAGCAACAGTTTGTCTGATTTTCCCAAGATCAAATGACAAGTGCTCATTGTGAAACATTCCGTAGAAATATCTCTGTGTGTGCTCTTCCATATGTGTGCACATGCAGTGTGTGTGGTAATGGTTCTGAGTTTGCCAGCTTAATATTGACTGGAAGTCTCTTGACTGTGTCTGCTGAGTGGGTAGAGCAGACAGGCTGCAGCCTGCCTGCTTGCACACCTAGACAGAAGGAAAATGTAGTAGTAGTAACAGGGGCAGGAAACCAGGGACTGCACAGGCCAAAGTCTGCAAATAAAAACTGCTGTTTAACAATACTGACAAGCAGGAATGTGTATTGTGTATTAAACCTTTATCTCCAGTTGTGGTTTTTGACCTTTTAGCCTTGTTGGGGGAGGGGAGCTGAGAAAAAAGAGCTGTTTACATGGTAACAGGAAAGCAACAAGGGGAAATGCTCCACAGTGGGAGCTCCACGGATTGACTGAAGAGGACGTGCACTTAACATTGTGGGTGTGGGCTGTTAGGAGCATCCTACATTGTGAAAGAAGAATTAACCCAACAATTAGGTAGCATTAGTGTCGTCCTCCCAATGGAATACCAGTGTGAAGACTGTGTTTGCTTTTGAGCGGTCTGTGGCCATCCTCTCATGTAATAACACTGACATAGGGTATTAAAGCAAGAATAACACTGGTTGCAAAAACTTCATGACTCAACAGTCCATATGAACAACAAACCAGCCCAGACAAGAGAAGACCACGCTAGGCTGCTGTGGGCTGATAAGTTGGTGCTGGAGGGGAACATGCATGTGTGACACACATAATAATCAGTGATGAGTCATGTCTTTGGCTGGTATATAGAGGTTGTATTTCCTTAATATGTAGGCATGCAACAAAATGATGTGAAAAGCAATGAATGAGGGTGAAGTTTATGTGAGCATCTGAGGGTGGATGTCAATCTACAAAACACAAAATATTGCTGTTTTTTTGCCCAGGGAAAACCCAATAAATCAAATACACTATCTACTCCTCCTCTGTGGCCTTGTTTTCACTGCAGTACACTATAACCGGAATATAAAGCTAATTTAACATAGGCCTACCAAGACCATCTTAACCTACTTTTCTTTATGAGCCTGTGTTATCAGTAACATTAAACCATATACCAACCATAACTGATGGCCTAGTTTTGGTTTCATATAATGCTGGCAAACCAGCCACATACAACCACCCATCCACAGCAGGTTGTCCTTTATTGTATTCATGTATTGTCAAATGAAAAATTAAATACTAACTTAAGTAAATAGAAATTTCCAAAGATTACTGATGAGAAGTCCTCTGGAAAATAACCCGGCTGTGGAGGATGAGAATGAGTGCAGATCTGCATAAGACCCATGAGGTCCACACCCTTCCATCCCTTGCAGTCATTGTTTCCATTTCTTCGCCCGTTTGAGAAAAAGCAAAGATCGAGGAGAAAAGCAGTATCGTAAAGCTGTTCTTACCGTATTTAGGGTCCGGGTTTTTTTCCTCCAGCTCCATTTCTCATACACTGCTCGGCTCCTCGCTGCAGATCAGACCTTAGACAGGACAGTTACCATGGAAATGTCGAGGAAAAAAAACATCAATAACGGCGGCTGACTGCTACAGCTACAGAGAGACCATCCCAAACCAAACTGAAGCACGGTGCATTCCAGGCTAACGGAGAGGAGAGACAGCCAATGAGAGCGCAGAGCCTGTTGACTGACAGCTGCCACAGCCAATCAGAGAGCGCCCGAGCGGGACAAACCCATTCGTCTCGCCGCTACTTCGATGGAATGTGTAGAGTGTTAAATGTGTTTGTAACGAAAATAATGACCTTAAAACCACTGGCAACGACTAACATTAAATCAGAGGGTTATTGTGTTTAAATGTTTAACCTTATGTGTGCGTGTGCGACAGAAAGTACCCAACAGTTATAAGAAAATATAAATATTTAGAGCTGCTCCTGCTTCACTTAAACTATTTTTGTGCCACTTTATACTTCTACCCCTCTGCAGCCGAGAGGAAAATATTCTCCACTTTATTTGACAGCTTTACACTTTGCTAATCAAAATTGGCTCAACATTAACCAAATACACCATCACAAGTTGATCGCAAGTTAATGCATGAGTAACCGATCAATAATGTAATAAGTATAATGATATAACTTTTGATAGCCTACCTTTTGCTGATCATACAACTTAGATACACGTTTTTGTGTGATATTGTTACATTTACATAAGGATGTACTTCATGCACTGCTCCACTAGTAATTAACAGAGCATACTGTTAGTAGTAGTAGTTAGTACCACCTAGAAACACAGTTTCATGACGGGTTAAACTGGGCATAGCAAATAAATAACTGACTAACCTATTATTTTCTGTCTGTCTGTCTGTCTGTCTGTCTCTCTGACTCAGCAACTCTGTGATGTAGTTTCCAAAAACAAAAGATAAAACAAACTTGATAAAATCTTTTCCAAAATCAAAAATTCCTCTGAAAGACATTTCACACATCACGTCACACAATTCAAGTGGTGGGAAGGTGAACTGTGATAGAAACTGCTCTGTCACACCTTTTGGCCACAGTCATGTGTCAAATTAAATTAAAAATTTAAAGGTATCAAATGTTGTGTTAAATGATTATACAGCTTTAGACACAAATTTAAATGCAGGACGTAAGTGCTTCATCCACCTTTGGAACGCAGGCTCCACTCATTAATAGAGCATACAGTTAGTTTGTGGGAAAGGAGAACTGTGACAGGAACTGCATTGTCACACCTTTGGCCCCAATAGTGTCATGTGTGGTGCCAGTACAGCAATGAAATATTTAAAGGTATCGAATGTTATCAGGCATCTTAAGAAAAGCATTGTACACATCTAAAATAACAGACAATCAAATAAATAAATGTTACCAGGCGTCCTGTAAAAATATGTCTTGGTAAAGTCAGCTGACTTAATGTTGTGTCCCCCTCCACTCAAAAACATGTTTTTCTTCTTGTTCCTACACTGTGATGTTTGAACCTCTCTGTGCTGAATGATGTATGTGCAGAGTTTGACACTAGAAGGATGTTTTCACATTCATCTGCTGAAAGTTAAAGGTTTCTCTGTGCTCACTGAAAATCTAGCCTACAGCATGATTTGTGACATCACAAATAGTTTGGAAGACAAATCCAGTCCCAGTGTTCAATTCAATTCAATTCAATTCAATTTTATTTGTATAGCGCCAATTCATAACAGAAGTTATCTCAGGACACTTTTCAAATAGAGCAGGTGTAGACCGAACTCCTTATAACATTATTTACAGAGACCCAACAGTACCACCATGAGCAAGCACTTAAAAAGGAAAAAAAATGCCTGTTAAAAGGCAGAAACCTAGGACAGATCCTTCTGCTCTAGGTGGGTGGTCGTCTGTCTCGACCAGTTGGGGTGAAAGAGAGAGAGAGAGAGAGAGAGAGAGAGAGAGAGAGAGACAGACAGACAGACAGGTGCACAGCAACAACAGTATTCAGCTTCTTCAAGTGTGATGTGGAAATTCACAGCCATACATTGACAATGGATTTTACAGTGAAGTAGGAGACATCATGTGTCCAACAGTAAAACTGCGAATTAATAAAATGAGCATATTCATAGTAAGTTAATGAGACAGATGAAGTAGAAGCCTTTTAAAGGATTTTTATGTGCAAATTATTCTTATTTTTCGTAATAAAACTGACACACACACGGCTCCAAGTAGAGAATGTGTATAGGCTATGTCTCATTATATGTGTGGAGGGGATCTTTGATAATAAATTGTTTCATATTTTATCCGGAAATAAATACAAACAATGGCTGGTTACACTGTAAAAGGTCATCTGTCTTTTCGCTTTAAAATTCAGGGGGTATTTCTTCTTCCTCCTCCTCTTTTTTAACCTTCATAACAGTTTCCTCCCAATCCGCACATCAGGAATAAATAACCCTAACATTATGTGTGTATGATTGTTGTTGATGTAGTTGCTGTTGTGTTTGCCTATAGTCAGCTGCCTCCACTGTCAGCTGCAGTGTCACTTATAAAAGCTGTCTCCAGCCGCTCACACATTCTGTATATGGTTCCTTATATTAGCAGCCAATGAGCTGGGAGAGCTTGAGCCGACACCCTCCACACCGTGCTCCACACACTCCCGTCCCCCAGCAGTCCTAAAACGCCATTTTGAGTGTGGAACTGTGTTGGGAATTTAATTCACACAATTCCTAGAAGTGAAAACATCATACTATACACGGCACAGGCAGCAGCACCAGACACTCCCAACACACAAACTCCACAATTGTGTTTAATATCATTATATTTCTGCCGCTAAAGGTAGTCCAAAGTTGGGTTGCACAACTTCCAGGCGTTGCACAACTATAGGTCGTGCATTGCTCCGGTGTTTTTTGCCTCACCTGTCATGGAGGAAAAGAGCGCCCATGTTTGACGTTACATATCCCTGTGACGTTGCACCGGGCCAAAGATTATTTAACCGACTTCTATCGCTCACATCCCCGAGGAAAAGTCACCGGATCATCAGATAAACTCAACGAGCGGAACAAGGTACTGTACAGCTGGCTGATTAGACCAAGGGTTCCTACATCAGTAAATGATTACACTGATGCATGGAGAAGTTGATTTATGATATTTGAACATTGCTCATAAAGGAAGAGCTGCTTTGTTCTGATCAAACATTATAAACAGGCAACAGTTTGATTTCCCTTTTCCTGCATCCAGAAGAGCCGAGAAAACATTTAGGACAGTATTCTAACCCAATCACATGTTTTCTCTCCTGCATGGAGTGACAGTAATGTTATAACAGTAAAAACAAAGTGTGTATATGAACTTACTAAAATCACTTTACATAAATACTTTAATTGTAATGTGAGACATATTTTAAATAGCTCAACCAGCTCAGCTGCTGTTGCATAATATTTGCATTGTGTCATTAACTGGGAAATGTGCTTTAAATGTTTATAGCAGCATATTAAAAATATTACAAGTTTAACATATATTTCTCCTTTTCCTCCATGTTCAGTAAAAATATGGCTCTCAGAGGTGCTGTCACTCGTCTGCTCTCAAACAGCCGAAAATGTGCCGCTGTCACTGCGTCCAGAGCCCAGGGCACAGCAGCTGCAGCTCCCAAAGGTACCATTCAAAATCTTTATTCATTATTTGAATATATAGAAAGGACCGGTAAGACAAAGTTTGAAGTTTAAGAGTGATAGGGAAGTCCGGACAGAAATAAATAGTTTAAATTTGTGTAAGATGATGTGTAATCCACTGGACTCAACCCTTTCATTTTCTTTCTTCAGATGTTGAAAACAAAAAGCCGGCAAAGGCACGTAAGTGAAGTTTTAACCTGGCCTGTCCAGATTCCTTCACACGTTCTCTTACCACATGTTGCAGTGACATAACCACTGTGCACTGTGTGTGCGTGTGTGCGTGTGTAAATGTTTTGACCCTCAGCCAAGGTGTCATTCAACTGGCGGGACGCCCTGGATCTTGAGGGTCAGCTGACAGAGGAGGAGATCATGATCCGAGACTCCTTCCGCGACTACTGCCAGGAGAAACTCATGCCCCGCATTGTCATGGCAAACAGACATGAACGTAAGCAAAGCACACATCCACGATCAGAGCATACAGAGGAAGTATGTCCTTGTTTGACTAAACAGATTCACTTATGTTCAGATCAAAGAATGTTATCTGTTTATTCTCATGGGACTAATTTAGTTTCAGGTGTTGGCTTTGTACTCACCTGTCGAGTTTAACTGTCAGTGAAGTGTTTATTTTATCATAAATATTTGATTGTAAATGTCTATTTTCCCAACATGCACTGTGCTACAGATTTTCACCGTGAGATTGTCTCAGAGATGGGAGAGTTGGGTGTCCTGGGCCCAACTATTAAAGGTAAACAGAAACAAAGATACATTATCATTATTTTGTCCCACAGAATATAAGAGTCATTGAAGCCTTTGTTTAAAGAACAAGAACTTTGTTCTGCAGTATTCTGAAGCTCTTTATGTGCCTATACATTTGTTTTCTATATGTTTTATGTATGTGTTTGTTATGTTGGGATTAGGATTACTTTACACTGTGTTTTACTTTTCCTGCAGGGTACGGCTGTGCAGGCACTAGTTATGTAGCATATGGTTTGATTGCCAGAGAGGTTGAGAGAGTGGACAGTGGCTATCGGTCAGCCATGAGCGTCCAGTCTTCACTGGTCATGCACCCTATCAATGCTTACGGCACAGAGGCCCAGAAGGAGAAGTACCTGCCCCGGCTCGGTGAGAGTGACAATCTTCTACATTTGTACACAACGTTTTAAAAAATGGCAAAGGACGGCCTCAAGATTGTCCCTTGTGTGTTCATCTGTTGTGCAGCTCGTGGAGAAATCCTGGGCTGCTTTGGCTTGACAGAGCCCAACCACGGCAGTGATCCAAGCAGTATGGAGACCAAGGCCAAATACAACTCATCCAGTGGCACCTTCACCATCAGTGGAGCCAAGACCTGGTAGGTAGAATGACACAATACAAAAAGCACTGGCTTTCCTGGTGGAGTATTTTTTATTCTCAAAGCTCTCTATTGACTTAGAGTGGGACAGATACTGACACTAGTGCTGGACAGTGATGTGTGCTTTAGATTTTGCCATGTTAGATCTGTTAAATCTGATACTGTGAAAAACCTATTGAATATAAATAATTAATTATATGGCAACAAAATAAAGAACAATAAATGTTACTGAATTCATTTTGTCTCAGTGTCACCTTTACTTTTGGAGTATAAGGTAGTTTAAAATGTATCCGACCCTCTTTACTGTCTACAAATGGGGACTGTTTCTGACACATGGAGGTCCGGTATTTTGAGACTAATGATGTGAAAAGAACTGTTACTATAGTGCTGCCAGTATGCCATGCCATCAGACAAGTTGAAAGGGCCTGCTCTCTTTGGGGATAGTTTTGTGATAGACTAGATTTTAGTTCAGTTGAAACTGGAAATACATATAATGTCATTATTGACCGCCTTTGTGTTGTTACTCACTCTCTTTCCTCTTCTAGGATCACAAATTCCCCTTTGGCAGACATTGCAGTGGTGTGGGCCAAGTGTGAGGATGGCAGGGTGCGGGGTTTCATCTTGGAGCGTGGAATGAAGGGTTTCGCCACCCCCAAGATTGAAGGCAAGTTCTCGCTGAGGGCCTCAGCCACAGGCATGATCCTAATGGACGAAGTGGAAGTTCCCCAGGAGAACCTGCTGCCCAATGTCTCTGGTCTAGCTGTAAGTGGCTGCTCTCTTAAATCAAGTTCAACTCCTCTAAAAAAAATAATTTGAAACATTAATGTTTCTGTGTGCTGATTTCTTACATTTCTTCTGTTGATGACCTTTTTGACCAGGGTCCATTCGGCTGTCTGAACAATGCCCGGTACGGCATTGCATGGGGGGCTCTGGGAGCTGCTGAATTCTGCTTCCACGCTGCCCGTCAGTACACTCTGGACAGGTACATGATATTCTTTCTACAGTATCTGTGCTCACTAAAGCCAAGGTCACAGCTTATAGACATAACACAATCCAAATCCAGTGAAAAAAGTGTGAGCGTTAGCATTACCACTCTGTCCATACAGTCTCCTCGTGTTATGCCAGCCTCAGCTCTTTTTAGAGACAGATTGGTTTTCATGTATTTCTACCTTCCAATCAGAATCCAGTTTGGGGTGCCGCTGGCCAGGAACCAGCTAATGCAGAAGAAAATGGCTGACATGCTGACAGAGATCACCCTTGGGCTGCAGTCATGTCTGGTCCTTGGAAGACTTATTGATGAGAAGAAGTGAGTCTCTCTCTTTCTGTCTTTACAATACTTTCTTCTATAAAAAAACTTTGTCTTTAATATATTTTTCTCCTAATAGGGCAGCACCAGACATGATCTCCATGCTAAAGAGGAATAGCTGTGGTAAGGCATTGGATATTGCCAGACAAGCCAGAGACATGCTGGGAGGAAATGGTATCTCAGATGAGTACCACATTATCCGTCACGTGATGAACCTGGAGGCCGTTAACACATACGAGGGTAGGCACACACCAGTGGAAACATCTGTTTTTTTATTTTAACATAACAGTACCAATGGAAGGAAGTGAGCAGTGAAAAGGATTTCAAACTTTAGCTGCAAGTCTGTACATCCACCACCAGAGGTCAGCAGTGCAGAGAGATAGAGAGACATTTTTATGGCTGGTCCACATTGAATCTATTTCATGCATGCATTGTTCAAGTAAACATTTTTAAATAAAATGTCAATACAAATAAATGTTACCAAATGTATTGTAAAAAAAATAAAATAAAAAATAAAAAAAGGTTTACTGTTATAGTAGTAGTACACAGTACTGTCTAAAATGGAGAAACCCTTTATGTGAAAACAACTTGTTTATACTGTTTTGTTCATTGTTCTCCATAGGAACTCATGACATTCATGCTTTGATCCTGGGAAGAGCCATCACGGGGCTGCAGTCGTTCACTGTTGAAAAGTAACGGTCTACCATCTTCTTGAAATGGACCTGATGTGGATTTGTACTACCTGTTCATCTGGCCTCTGAGGAACACAACCTCATCGGGAAAACTTACATGTGTAGAAATATGAGGTGGATTTAAATCTCCTTATCACATTTATATATTTTTTAAACAACAGATAGGAGCGGATTATTACTGCTTCTATATATGTGTACGGTCAACTTAGGAAAGTGATGGGTCCAACTGTCATGACATTTGCACAGTTAAGATGCTTGAAATATACTTCAGGTATTGATCAGGTAGGTGCATGTAAAAGTTGTGGCATTATGAGTTGGTTTATTATGTGATAATTGAATGAAATGTAAATAAATGGCTTTGAATGAGTGAGAACATATGAGTGAGTGTAGCTGAGATTCTGTGTCACCAATTCAAACACACATTTAAGTTCTGGTGAAACACAAACGTTACATAGACACAGTGGGGAAATATAATATATTAATATCAAATGTTAACACCTGAGAGACAAATAATTATCTTTGAATTATTCTTGTTAGTTTTGTCTATTGACTCAACAAATACTGAAATTGAACATAACTAAAACATGGATTCAGCTTTTGTTTTGGATTCAGTCATAAGCTGTAACCTGAACTACTGTCCTGATAACAAAGACACAGTCATGTACTCTTGAAAGAAGAACGGGTAAACTACTTCAGAATAACACATGAACTAGTTTAAAATAATACAGACATCCGAACCTTAACTAGTTGATCAGGGTTCTGACATCTTGCTAATGGCCAGACCCTCTCTGAGACCTGCCAGCGCGTTGGTGGCCTCCATGAGCTCTGTGTTGAGCTTAGTGCAGCTCTCCAGCACCTCTGACAGCTCCTGCAGCTTCACCTGCATCTCATTACTGTTCTCCTCGTAGACCGTGTACATGTGCTCCTTCATTTGCTGGCACATCTCTGTCACCTAGGGAATAAAATGTGGGGTAAAAAAAAAATCAGACAAAGTACAAGACAAACAGTGGACAACAGAATATATCGATCCACAATTAGCATGTTACTTCTGCATGAGTACTGCAAGTATGTACATAGCTGTGGAATAAAGCAATATAAAGAACAGGACTAGAAGCTTGTAATAAGTTTTGTACCTTCTCCATTAACTTTTCCTGAAAGCTGTCCATCACTGTCTGGTCACTGGTGCGGCTGTCGTTAATCTTTTCAACTAGATCCTGCACTCTTCTGCTGATGTCATCTATTCTTGAGCTACAGTAGATATTGTCATACATGTAGGTTGAAGTGGCTTTAACTTTAAATGTCTACTGTTCATCCTGGGTTAAAAGTTTACAGTTCTGCTCAACATAGCTGCTACATGGATTATTGTTTCAGTGAATGTGATTGGACTGTGAAGGTAATTCTGTACCTGGAAAGCGGCTCTTGCATCTCAGTCATGCTCACGTTTGAGGACTTCCCTCTTGATGAGTCATCCTCTGTGTCGTCTGTCTTTATTGCCAAGGGCAGAGAGAAAAAAGCAGCTATAAACACCATCATCATCAGGTATGCACATAAAACAGATTTTAGATTTTCCCGTGAGAACAAAAGGTTGACTTGGGGAAATAAGTTATCATCTGGGAAGGGATGGGAACAAGATATGTTGAGTTTTATTATATTTTTCCATTTATTTATCATGACATGACATTTATGTTTGAATAAATGATTTAATACAAAGACTGTTCTCAGAGGATATTAATATTATTACGTATGATTACTCCATTAAATTATAATATATGATGTGTCATATGATATATGTTACCATCTGTGACTCTTCATGTCTGCTCTTGGGAGTGGACTGTGAGGTGGATGGTAGGTCCTCAAAGAAAAAATCCATTCTGAAAAAAGACACTCTTTTTTAAAAATACATAAATTATGTAAAATGTCTTCTAAAGTGAGCGAAAGGAGATGGTTCAACCCTCAGTTAGATACAGAGCCCTTTTAGCTTTAGCTAATCCCTTTTGGCTGTTCAACATAGCATTAGCTATAACGTTAGCTTCACTCTTGTAAACCACATAATAATTACAAATATCCAGATACAACATGTAACAAACAAATGCTTATAATTTCACTTACAGAAATATATACCACACGTTAGCTGTGTGTGTACGCATATAACTTAACTTACATCAGCTATCTTACTAGCTAGCGTAAGTTAGCTTAGCTCAGTGCTAAATCTGGCTAACGATAGCTAGTCCGGAGTTTCCTCTATCTCTTAAAACAAGACGAAATCCCGCGAATTGTTTTATATTCTTTGTGTTTTAACGTTATTTTGTTAAAATCATAAACTGTATAAAATATATGTAACTTATATGTAGTCTCTGGATAATATGAGCCGCTCTCACCTGGTTTTCAGTGCTTAAATAAATAAAGAACATTAAGTTAGCACCAGCACACTGTAAAAATAGTCCTCATAATAAGAGTTAGGGGTTATTTTATTTGTTTTAATATATAATTTGGTAACATTGGGTAGGTGCAAAATAATACAACACTGTTATTAAATCAATGCAACACCCATTCAATTTAGAATATGGAAATAAAACCTCATGTATCAACTATTTTAAAGACTAGTTGGAGATTATAAGAAATTATATTACTGTTGTGATTAAAATAGAAACAAATCCAGAAGTGGGGTAGAAGTTAATTTGAGCCTTTCTAGTCAGGAAGTCTTGAGGATTTGCATTAAAACAACTAAGAACTTCTTATCAAAGATTGAGTTCATGTACGTGTATGTGTGGGTGTAATGTGTGTGAGCATTGCAGGGGAGAAGAAAGCACTCAGATTGTTTGTGGTGGATTAAGTGTTATGGGATGAGAGGGGTTGATTGATCTGCTGTGATTGGAAGTGTAATCCCTCCCTTCCCCTCTCTCTCTCTCTCTCTCTCTCTCTCTGCCTCTCTGTGTCACCGCCCACAGTCTGGATTATCCCAGGACAGAGGACACAGCACACAGCAGTGAGGGGCAGAGGCTGTGTGAAATGTCCTGATGTCTGGTGGAGGATGAACTGATGTTCACAACGTGACACTAATGAAAGTCATGAAGAGAGATGTTGGTGAATCGGCGCTGCAGAGACCCAAATGTGTTTAATCTGGAGGCGGCAAAAACTTGGGCCTGACAGGTGGGTGAATTTAATCACTGGCCTATTTTTATGTTCATCAAGTGTCATAAAAGTAGCTCTTTATATATTAAAAGGTAAATAAAAGATTACATTTCTATAGCTTTTTGAATATATTTACATCACACTCTTCCACCTGCCGTGTATTTGAGTTAAATAAATAAGATATAAATGTGTTTACTTACTCTGCCTCTCTGCATTTTAGGAAGTGACACCTGAGCAAGTGGATAAATCAAACTGGTAACATTTTCACTGTGAATATAATGGAATAACTACCAATCACTGGAGGAAGTGGAGACTGGGAATATGGAGAGCTTTAACTACACAGGCGAAGGCGGACTTTCATTCCAGTACTTGGTCCATAATGTGGAGCCACTTTATACGGAGTACAAGCCTCCTCCCAGGGACCTCATCCAGCTCCCTAAATCAGTTCTCTACCTCGTGATGGCCGCCCTGGTCGTTGTTGCTGTGGCTTACGCCATCGTGGGTCACCTCATTAAAGACCTCATGCTGGATATAACAGGTAGCCACTCCAGTCTATTACAGGTAGTGGGTTCATAGTTGTATTTCAGAACTCTTGTTGGCATCTTTATAAGTCTTGTCCTGTGTCGACCCTTATGCAATCAATTTGATTTAATCATATTTGATGATGTAGTATATGTAATTTGTTTATTTAGCCCTCAACTACAGGAGGCACAAAATAAACTTGTTGAGCTGTGGTGTATGGTAACACGATTTCATCCACCATCTACCATCAAGGAATCTGCACTGACTGAACTAACTTGGATAAATGTTGTGTGCAACTACAGATGCAGTGTAACATACAAAGCAAGGCTTTTGGTTCCATATATATGATGAATAAAGCAATATTTAATTTAAGCATTGTATGATTATGAACTCAGAAATGAAGTGTGTTGCAGTTTGCTGAAAGTCTGTCAAGCAGTGATGTGGGCAGATATCCTCTATTAATGTGCTGTACAGTATTTGTCACCACATCTGGTTATTTTTTGCTTTTGTTTTGTGTCACAATGCTCCCCAAAATCTGTAAATTACTTATAATAAATGGAGCACTCTTTCATTTTTTCTGTAGAGAATATGTATTGAATTGTGTCAAATCTATATGAGAATTTTGGGGTTCATACCCTTAATCAGATACAATATATCATCTTTATTCGAAATATCTCCTTGTAACTTTCCTTTTCTCCATTTCTCAAGCAAAAGTGCAGCAACGATGAAGCAAACTTGTGAGTGGTTTTTCTACAACAGCCACAAGCTTTACTTAAATGAAAAACTGAAGCAAACTCTACTCTTTTATCCGTCCACAGACTGTTTGCTGGGCCCACCCGATGAGGACATGACAAAAGGCGGCGAGGGGGAAGGAGTCAGCCCTCTGCACATACCACCTGCCCTTAGCCACTCCCACCCAAATGCCTTCCATGTGTGGGACCAGGACGATGTCATCATCCCCATGACTCCCCTGCATGATACCGAGCTGACCAGCCCTCTGATGACCGTCATCCCGTACATCCCCTCATTTTTCCCCACCTCCCTCAGTGTCAACACCCCGTCCTACAACCTGCCACTCCCAAAGGAGAGTGATGCATGAGGCAGCATAAAAGGATCCCAGACCATTTTCACGTGGTGCATCTCCTTTTAACACTCTTATCCCCCATCGCTTTGGTTTTCCTATTTAGTTGAGCTTCTTTGGCTCCTTGTTTTCACCTCTGAAGCACATTTTACCCCAATCTACTTTGTGAAAAGTTGAACAATTTCTGGGAAGATCTCATAAAAATCAGCGAGTGTCGCTAATCCAGCAAACTATGCATTAAGACTTTTGATATTTTCCACATCTGACTGGAATCATACATAAGCAGTGATCAAGGCCATTGTGAATGTATGGATTTACTTCTGTTGGAGTTACTGATACTTGACCAAGACAGAAACAAACAGCTAATTTTCTCAGGATCAGAGCCTGGGAATGTCAGTGGGACGGCCTTCACTTATTAATTTTCCCTGTGGATTTGTGCCAATTTAGCATCATGAATGTTCATCCATCCATGCGGTTACATTTGTTTTTATGTAGGATCCTAACCTGCTTCGACTAATTTATTGAACTTACTTAGTTTCATGTTTTGGCCATGACCGAGGGGGGGGTTTAACTCCAGTGAACGACAGATCCAGTCAAAGACTTAAAAAACTGTTTCACTGAGTGACTCTACATTGTATTATACAGCATATTATACAGTATAAATGACGCAGAGAGCAGTGTGCACATTACAGGAGAGTGAAGTGTCTGTGATGAGTTCTTGTGTAAAATAAAGGTGGATACTATGCTAAGATAAGTTTGCACTTTACACTTGTGTCTCAATCTTCTGATCCTAAATATATTTCTGGTGCTGAGCAGGATTGGCCCTAAGTTGCTAACTAATAGGGTGAAGTTAATTCAATTAGTGGAGGTGACCTCTTTCAGATGACCATGTGAGGCCCTCTAAGGACAAGCACAGTAAAATTAAACGAAATAGAGAAATAATCGAGTAATAATAACTACAATAAATCCAGCAATAAAATCCTATTCTTTAAGAATCTGGGTATTTGGGTATGTGTTACACAGTTAAAATGTGTTTAGGATCTAACTGCAGCTCTCCCTACTTTTGCTTGTTGGCACCAAAAATCATCGACACTGTTACGCAACTCAGAAAGACAGATTTCAGGGTCCATTTTAAGCAGGATATTGGCTGAGATGCAGAAATCCTGGGATATTAAAAGCACATGAAGGCTGTGGCATCACACACACACAGACACACACACACACACACACACACACACACACACACACACACACACACACACATTTGCACAGTATCAGCACTTTTATTAATTTCAGATTTTTTTTTCTCTGCCTGCATCCACAACTAAAAATTAGATTATTCTACCTTTACTGGCTCTCTCTGGACAAACATCAGAGTATTAACATTGCCTTTTTTGTATTAAATAATTTGGGGGAACTCTCATTGAGCTAACATTGCTCATTCTATCTGAAACCCAGAGTGCCTGTATGCAGTCCGGGATGGAGATTAGGGAGAGAAGATTAGATGAGAAGCTTAGCCTTTAATACAGCATCCTTTTATTACTTTTGAGCCGTGGAATTAGATAATCGGACAGCAGCAGCCCAATCTTAGTGGACAAACTTCAGAAACTTATATTGTTATTCTGGTTGTGAGACAGAATTCGTTGGATCAGGTTGGGGTGTGCAGAGACAGCCAACAATAGAGTCCCAAGAGGGAGGAGTGTTGTAGATGTACTTCAAAGAAAGTTGTGGGGTGAAAGGAGTGATGGAGTGTAAACAGACAGAAGGAGCAGGTAGAGAAGAGTAATAACAGATGGTGCTCTACCAGGTGAGCTACCATGTCTAGATGTTTAACTGTAGTGTACAGGATATGTAACAATTCATGAACATGCCTAAAATTATATTAACTCAGCATTTTTTTATGTATTTTTATTTTGCCATTTCATGTCTTTTTTTTAATTTTTTATTCCAATACTGCTCATGCTGCTAGACAACTTTCAGTCCAGTCTGATCAAG